TATTCTGAGCTGAAGGGGTTAGGACGGACACAATCTGAAGACCAAGTGAGGACTTTGTCCTCTTCCCCAAAGGCTGGAGCCCCAGCTCCAGCATGTAAGGGTTACATGCTTTTGGGGGATAGCACTGTAGATTTAGAGCTAGAAACGACCTTTGCCCATTTAGTCTGGGGGTCACTAACTTTTTTTGTGCTATCGACTCTTTTGGCAGTTTGGTGAAGTCTATGGATCCCCTTCTTAGAATATTTTTAAGTGAATCAAATAAAAAACAGAATTAGAATGGAAACCAATTGTGGTGAAATAAAGCTATCACATTTTTTTTTTAAAGAAAACTTCATGGACCCCAGTGATCTAGTCCAACCTCTTCATTTTACAGATGCAGAAGCTGAGGCCCAGAGAGATGGTCACTTTCCCAAGATGATAAAGATGGCAAATGACAGAGGCAGGATCCTCAGGCTCTACCCTTACCCATTATGGGTGTAGATAAGAAGAGTAAATGACTTGAAGGACTCTGGTGAAGACCTCCAGTTAGCTTGTCCACATGATGTGGGGAAGCATTCTTTTGCTTCCAGATTCTCCCCTTTATCCATCTTCCCTCATCCCCACTCCTGTGATGAGAGGCTCAGTAACTGTGGAGCATCATCTTAATAGAGAATCTTAAGGAAGCTTACAAATGACACTCTTTACCAGGGCCCTGAAAGGAAGCATAAGGAAGACTGCCTCCATTCTAGAGGTTAGGAAGCTGCAGCTGAGAGCACAGCTCATCGGTGCCAGAGTCAGGCCTCTCACCTAGACACCTTCCCCTTTTCTTCAACAATCAGTACATCAGTCAGCATTTAGTGTCTACTATGTGCCAGGCACTGTGTTAACTCAAATGCTTTATTACACATTCTTCTTACCTTGCTGCACACAAACACCCACATACATACATGCACGCACACATGCGCTTGCACACACAGGTGCGCACACCCTAAAGGAGTTTCTGAGCTCATTTTTTTTTACAGTACAGTTTTCACATACACATACACCCGGAGGAGCTTCTTGTAAAGAACTGGAAATGCTTTTCTGACTCAAGGGAAGAGTGGTTGGCCTCCCTTGGGTCAGACGACGTGTTTTAAAAGGGAAAGGGAGGTGATGAGGGAAATCGGACCTTTCTCCATATGATTCATGTTCCCCAGGTACATGGAATGGTGCCTTTTCCTCTGTGGGTTTGGAGCTCTGGGCCCTGCAAGACTTTTGAAAAAAACAAGGGGTGAGGAAGAGAAGGCCCAGAACTTCTGGGAAAGAAGTAACTTGTTTATACCCGTTGGATCTGATTTGTTCAAGTGTTTGTTTAAAAGAAATGCCACTTTGTAAGAGGCGGCCTAGGTTCCTTGTTCTGTGTGCAAGAATGCTTTGATTGGCCAAAGACTCTGACACTGTTTACTCAGAAACTCCCCATTGAGCAGCCCGGACCCCCCTGGACAGAGTCTCTTTCATTAGTCAGCAGGTTCTCAAGTGTCCAGAATTGGCTCTTGAGAGTGACGGGGGCCCTGGGGGCCTCGGCCTGCAGAACCAGGGAGCCCTGAGCTCACCGGCCTCCTGGAGCATCTGGTTTGCTTCTCCCCAGCCAGTGCTTGGTGGTTATGAACCCTGTGGGCTTGCCAGAAAAAGGGATTAAAGAAGCAAACAAATCTTTTGTGGGAAAACAAGCTCTTAGAGGGGCAAACACTTTCTGCAGCCTTGGAAGTTGGAATAAAACAAGTGGAAACAAAGTGAGGCCATTTCGAGCTTTTTTAATGGGGAAAAGTAGTCACATGGTTAAACCTTGGTCCCATATCCTCCTCTAAGCTTTTGTCTTAGGCCAGAAATTCAGTTCAGTTATACGCGTTAAGCACTGGCTGTATGCGTAAGACACTGAGTATATGAAACGGTGGCTTACGGTCATCATTTTCATCAGTAAACTGATACCTGTCTCTGAGGGGTAGAACCACACGCAGAAGTCTGAGATATATAATTATTGTCCTCGGAGAGCTTACAAAGACACTCATAAAGATGTCATCCAAGTCGTAAAATGACAAGCTATAAATTCAGAGAAAATATGGCAGTGCCTGGCACATAGTAAGTGCTTTATAAATGCTTAGGAATTGATGAGTTAATTTCATGAGTTGTGTAGTAGGAAGGAAGGGCTAAATTATTGGTTCTCTTCATAATTTCCTAGGTCATGTTGACAGTGGCTATTGCCTCATCCTAACTGGTGTCTCTATCTCCGATGTCCCTTCTACCCCAATCCATCCTGTGTGCCAACACCAGGCTTTTCTAGGATACTTCCATAAAGATAGCTAGTGGGCACAGTGCTGGTTTTGGAATCATGAGAAGTCTGGAGTTCTAATCCTACCTCAGATACTTTAGAGTTTAGTGACCCTGGGCTAGTCACTTAATTTTTTAGCATCGCTTTCCTTGTCTTTGTGTGTCCTCCATGCCTGGCACATAGTTTTGCTTAGTAAATAAATGCTCATTGGGATTGATTCTTAAGTCTGCTAGTCCATAACTACTTCGTAGATGGTCTGCCCAGCTTACAAGAGATGTTCTTTTTTGTCTTTTAACATTTCCTGGGTACCAACACAACACCCAAGCTGTTTCTTCTCCTTTTTTTTTTTTTTTTTTTGCTCGCTACTTTGTTTTCTCATTGTGAAGTTTTTATGCTACTTTTTGTGGGCAAACCATTTACATTATTAGTACACAGACTACTTTCTAGTGCCCATCCAATCAGGTCTAAATCTCATGCTGAGGCCCTCCATCATCTGACCTCACTTTGCGCTTTCTAATTTATTTCCCAGCACGTATCTCTTCTAGCCACCCTCTTCTCATTATTGTCATGTTATCCATTGTGTTTGTCAGGGTATTCTTGTCTTTGTCTGTGCTGTCATTCTTTCTTTCTTTTCTTTTTTTTTTTAAGATAACTTTTTCTTTCGTTTTTTTTGACTAGGCAGTGGGGTTAAGTGACTTGCCCAGGGTCACACAGCTGGTGAATGTTTTGTGTCTGAGGGCAGATTTGAACTCAGGTCCTCTTGAGTCCAGGGCCGGTGCTGTATCCACTGAGCCACCTAGCTACCCCGTTGTCATTCTTTCTTAAATGTGCTATAAACCCTTCAGTCTTTATTCCCTTCCCAAGGCCCATTTGGAATCCCACCTTCTCCATATAGCCCTCCTGTCCCTCAGCTATTCCAACCAGCATTAGTCTCTACCTTCCCTGAACTTCTGTATGGTTTTCCACGTGCATAATTGGTTTGGACACTTGCTTATAGCCAGTAGTATGTTTTGCTCTGTAATGTCTATATTCTTTATTTGTTTGCTCTTTGTAAATCTCATTGCTATAGACTTAAAAACATTATTCTTCTCCCCAGTGGTCGTTTAATTCAGTTGTTCAGTTGTTTTTTTTTTTTTTTCACTTGTGACCCCATTTGGGGTTTTCTTGGCAAGTATACTGGAATGGTTTGGCATTTCTTCTCTAGCTCATTTTACAGATGAGGAAACTGAGGCAAACAGGGTTAAGTGACTTGCCCAGAGTTAGCCAGCTAGTAAGTATTTGAGGCCAGATTTGAACTCAGGAAGGCGAGCCTTCCTGACTCCAGGCCTGGCACAATAGGAAATCAATAAATTCACAGAATTTGAATCAGACATATTCCCTGATGCTGCTTCTTCTGACCCACATTTGCCTAGACACCCTTTGTAAGTTATCACCAAACAAATGGGTATTCAATCTCTGTTTGATCCCTCTACCCCTCAAAACCTGCTGTCTCCTTGATGTAGCCCTGCTGTGCTTTGGGATAGCCCTCCACAGATAGAGACCATCCGTTGTCAATGTCAGTGTTGAGGGTATTGGAACTGGAACTGATATGCGTTCAGCTCTTTGCTGATCTTAGACAGTCACACCCCTTCTGTTGGACTAGATCTGAGGTCCTCTGAACCAGCTTAAAAAGTAACTGGGAAATAGTTAACAAAATAAATACGAATACAATAGAACATAGATAGCATTATATATGAAAACTAAGTCACTGTAGCCCACAGGGATCCTTACGTGCAGATTAATGCCTCCCATTGGTGCTGAGGTATATATCACTGGACCAGATGACCTGTCTCTGGGTCCCTTCCAGCCCCAGATCTCTGATCCTGTGCATCTTCTCTAACATTCTGTACTTCAGCATCTCTCTCCTTATGATCTGTGGTCTCATCGCTGTCTTGGAGGGAGAGGTGGTCCTTCTTGTTAAGACAGACTTCTCTCTGTGTGCCCTCAACCACATGCCTTGTGATTGTTATTAGCAATCTTTTCATTGAGCCTCTATCTGCTTCTCTGTAGTTTACATGACGAATTGAATTGTCGTCTTGCAAGAATAGGTTGTAATCCCCATATCAGGAACTATATTCTAGATTGAGTTGAGACGAGGACACATTGTTATCATTCATTGGTGACACTGTAGCTGTTAGCTGTGTGTGTGTGTGTGTGTGTGTGTGTGTGTGTGTGTGTATGTGTGTGTGTGTGCGCGTGTGAGATATGTAGGCTCATAGATGTAGAACTGGTTGGGGTTTTAGTGGTCATTTATTCCAAACCCCTCTTTTTACACACAAGGAAACTGAGGCCAGAGAAGAGTGCCTTATGCAATGTATAATAATAACTAGCTTAGTTTGGGATTTGAACTTGTGTGCTCCAAATCCAAATCTTAACCTGCATATACTTTCTACACATTATAAAACATTCTGCACACTATATAATGTTGTGATACCCTATGACATGTTTTATTGAATATTTGGCAAATTCGGCCCAAACTTGGTTAATATGATGATACTGATTAAACAAATAAGGGACCATGTAAGTGGCTTGTTAGAATAGTTCTTTTTCTCTGAAAGACCCAAGGAAGGATCTGCTTGCAGAGCATGATGTGGGGAAAAATAATGGGGTCACATATTAATTTAGAAAACCAAACTTTATATCTACTTTTTCTCCCCCCACTTCTCTCCCCCTCGCTTCCTCTCTCTCTCTCTCTCTCTCTCTCTCTCTGCCTCTCTCTCTCCGCAGTGTGGAAGGGAATCAGCTGAAACCTTACATTTCCCTGCAAACACTGGACCTGAGTTCCAATAACATCACTGAAGTACGAAACACTTGTTTTCCTCATGGACTGCACATAAAAGAACTGTAAGTTTCTTCTGACCAAATGACATTTTCACTGCGGTTTGGGGAGCGAGCAGCTCTCCTTGGGCCCTGCTGCCATACCAGAGCTTTTGTGGCATTGACCTCAACGCCCCTTATATTAGGGCGTTACATTCCCAAGTGATCTGGGAATAGTTCCTTCTACCTCGTGGAAAATGGTGGCCATTTGTTAGCAGGGTGGGTTGGTGGAAGAAATTGGTAGGAACATATTGGCAGGAAAATTCTTCAGAAAAGTCTGTTACCTAAGTAATTAACATGTTTTACTGGTCCACTCATCTGTTGGTTTCAGTCAGCGTTGGATCATTCAGCTCGGGGAGGGGAACCAGTGACCTTGAGGCCACACGCAGCCACGAGGCCACAAGTTCCCCACCTCTGATCCAGCCTGTGTGTTATCTGTTGGATGGTGGTAGTGGTGATAGTGGGGGTTCTTTTGTCCAATTCAGTTCTCATCTAACTCAGCCTTGAGACATTATGGAGAAGAGAGAGAATTTCAGCCAACATCCATCAAGCACAATTCTGTGTGTAAGATGTGTTGGCCGGTGGGATGAAGTCATAGAACATCCAGATTGGAAGGTGTGAGTGGCATCCAGTCCAGCTCATGAGTGTGACCGCTCTCTGCCAGATAGTGGATGACTTGTGGTCACCTCTCGAATTCCTCAGGGAGCCTATTGTACCTGGGGGCAGCTTCACAGGGAAGTTTTCCTGTACCTCAAATCTAAGTCTTCTTTGGCTCCAGGTTCTACCCTCTGGGGGCATCAGTCCATTTTCCAGCTTGTTTTCAATGAAAGGTTGGGTAGAGGAGAAGGGAGAAAACTTACTGGTCAAAAAGAGATTTCTGGATTTTATTCAATTACAAAATACTGAGTGCCCACAGTATTCCCATAGACGGTCTCTGTCTTCAAGAGGCTTATATTCTATTGGGAGAGACAACATATGTACATAATCTATACCAAATAAAATCAAGGTAGTTTTGGGGAGTGAGAAGGCACCACTGGGGAGACAAGGGTTAGGAAAAGGCCTCAGTGCACCTTTATGTGGACATTAATGCCCTCCACACGATACCTGATGACTTGTGGTCACTCAAGTCAACTCCATGTAGCCATTTGTGGTGAAAATGTTTGGACAGGAATTCATGACATTGCCTTTCCAGGATGCTCAGTGGTAGCGTTTATAGATGCCCAAGTGAGACTTAGGGACAGAATACTGTTTCTGTGCTTAGAGTAAACATGGGTGGTTTTTAGCCCTGGGCCCTTGTAAACCTGATGGGGCAGATTTCTGTCCTGGCTGAAAGCCAGGCAAGGGGGCTGCTAGTTGTATTTAGCTTAGGTAGAGACAATGACCGAAGGCAAGAGGGCACAGCAGTGGCCCCTTTTCCCCAAACCTCACAAGGGTAGTTTTGAGGGTTAAATGAGATAACATATAAAGTACTATTATTGATGTTATTATTTCTATTGTCACCATTATTATTTTTATGATGATGATGATGATGTTACTATTATATGTTGAGAGTCCAGACTGTCCAGTGTTGGCATCAGAGGAGGCCTTTCTATTCTGGTCTAGAGCAGCCAGCACATTTTTATCAGACTGCCCTATTTAATCTGAAGTGTTGGGAACAAATAATCCAGCAGAATTTGCGAGGGGTCTCTGTGTGCCATCTTTTTGACTCTCTTGTCATGTAGGAGAGAGGTTGTTTTTTTGACACAGCCATCTTACAAACAACCCCGCTGTCTGACCTCTCTCCTCTTCCTTTTGTCCAGAAAGTCGGCATTTGTGTACAGATAGGAATAAAGAAAGCCATGAGGAATAGTACAACTTCTTAGTCTCTGAGACCTTGTATTTGCTCCTCTGGCTTAAAAAATAATCTGCCGTAACATACTTGGTAGTTGTAGATGCAATCCCAGTTCAAAAAACTGGGGGAGGGAGGGTGTTTAAGTAATTTACAAACTACGTGAATGGGGCTTTACTTGCTACTTCAGGTTTTGTTTTTTTAATTTACAGAAAGATTCCTTCAGAGAGTTTCCTTTTAAAGAGGATGCTTTCTCATTGCATTGGAAAATAGGATTCAGTTTCTAAAAATTTCAGCCCCTCACTGCTGCTAGAACTTACCTTTGATGCAGGTTGTAAAATGAGGTCTACCCTTTCTTAGAGAAGGCTGTTTCTCCCAGTTACTGGATTCCTGATGGAACCCACTGGTTCAGAACTCACTTCCTGTTTTGGGTTATCTGGAGAATGTGCCTTGTGTCATTGGAGAGAATGGCACCTCATTGAGTCTACAGGTGACCCTGGGGGCCATGACATAGAGCTCAGCCCAGTGTTGGACAGTATGTGAGTTTTGGCTTCTGCAGTTATTCTGACCACAAATTGTCTCACAAGCAAACCTTTACCCAAGGCAGATCCTTTTCTGATTTTGCCACATGTTTTGGAAGGTTCTAATGCTAGAACGTTGAGGGCTGTCTCTGCAGGAGACAGAGAACAGTTGAAAAACTGTGCAAGCAGACAAGAACCATTTCAGAAAGAGCCCTATTCATGTCTGCAGATAACTAATCAAGTGCAGCTCAGGCCATTGATCCCTGGAAGGTGCCAGGCACTGTGAAAAGCGCCAGACGGGCCTTGTTCTCAGGGAGCACGCAGTCTAACGAGGGAGCCAAGGTGGAAATGACTTTGTGCAGGATGAATTGGAGGTGATCAGTAGAGGGAGGCGCTAGAATTAATTAGGGGTCGGGAAAGGTTAAGGGTGATATTTTAGCTGGGATCTGAAGGAAGCCAGGAGGTGGAGGCGTGAGGAGGGAAGCATTCTAGGGATGGGAGACAGCCAGTGAAAATGCCTGGAGTTGGAAGATGCGAGTGTCAAGGAGGCCGGTCGGTGCCCCTAGAGGGATGAGGGTGTAAAGAGGTGGAAAAAGTGATGGGAGGACCTGAGGTTATGAAGGCCTTGGATGCAGGAGTATTCCTATCGATCCCGCTGGGAGAGGCTGCTGTGTGACACAAGGGGGACCTGGTCCCGCCGCTCAGTTTTCTGTTCTGAATTATTGCAGCCACCTGGGGAGCAATCGCATTAGTTCCCTGGAGCCGGGAGCATTTGATGGCCTCTCCCGGTCCCTGCTCACCCTCCGCCTGAGCAAAAACAGAATCACCCAGCTTCCTGTCAAAGCCTTCAAGCTGCCCCGGCTGACACAACTGTGAGTAGTAACTGGGCACTTTAATTAAGGTTAGCCAAACTTTTACAGAGACAAAATTTCCCCAAGGACCCTCGCCTCCCGTGCAGCCCTTCCTCCCTTGCTGGGCATCTCTCAGACTTCGTGTAAACTCTTATTAACAGGCCTGCGGTGACACCCAATAAAAACAAATTAGGAGTTTGGTCTAGAATGTGTTGGCGGCCTGAGATTGACGAGAGAAAGATCAATTGTGTGTGTGATTGGTCATTCTTGTGGGCATTCTCTGTAATGAAACCTAGACCTCCAACTTTAAATACTCACTTGGCTCTGGCTGGGGCAGATTGGTTTCCATTGTGTTTTCTTTGCAAGGTTGGGGGGTGGGGGGTGAGGGGTGGGGCTGGTGGTGGGAACAGTTCTCTGCTTTCATTTTAATATCTGCCGGGCCACACAGTTCCCTTTTAAAGGGCCATAAAATGTAACGAGGGTAGACGGCCACAATGAGTGGCAATGTCTGGGGAAACATTCCAGGCATGAGAGTGTTAGGATGGCGGGGTTTCGATCATCAGTTATACCCAGTTTGGCTAAAATAATTCCTAGAAAAAACATGACCCAGGTTGAAGTGGATGGAACCTTGACAATTGCAGGAGGTTTATTTTATTTTTAAGTATTTAATCTTGGATGTGGCTGCTGAAAGAAAATATCTTTTCTTTTTAAATAAGGTTTATTGACCACCAGCCTTGTGTGAGACAGTATATATACTGGGTACAAGAAGCCTGTTTATATAGAAAACACTTTAAAGTTTTCAAAGGGCTTTTCATGCATTATTTCATTTGATTTTCAGGTCTATGCTTAGAACTCAGATCATCTGTTGTGCTCACCCCCACCTTACACACATACACACACACACACGTATTCAGTAGGCCATATTTGAGTCTGGCAGATAGAAATCTTCATTTAAGGATGATTTGGGCTTCACAGAGCTTTGTTCATTAACCCTTCATATGAACTAAGACAACAAAGTGAATTGGAACATTTCCTTTTAGTTTAGTTGAGGTTTTATTAGGCTGTATTAAAAAACCAGGCCAATGAGATTATGGATTGTAGATTGTAAAAGCTGGAAAGAATCATAGATATCCTAAATTCAGAACCTTTCCACTTAACAGATGAGGAAACTGTGACCCATAAAAAAGACCTGAGGACACAGGCTAAGAAATTGCCCAGCCCAAGTCCAAAGCTTGGGTGTATGATTCCACATTCAAGGCTGTGTCATCTGCCACGAGTTTCTGTCTTTCAAGAGCTTCCCTAAACATAATTTTTTTTTTCATTTAAAAGGGGAGCTGTGGGTGGGGTTTTGGTGTCCCTTTCCTTTCTATGGGTGGGTGGCAAGGTCAGGATGTAAGGTGGATTATCGCTATATGACCCACCTGGCCACTCTTCTCCCTCCTTCTGGACTCAGGCTTCCAATCTTGAACGAAACAAACCCCAGGGTAGAGTTCATCCTGCTGAATTAGAGCAGCCTTAGAGGAAAGCCTTCTGACCACAGTCGGAACCCCCTCTTCATTCGTTGTCATGAATGGCGCCTCTGAAATTTAGCAGATGAAATGTGAGAGCTGAGCTCATTCAGGGGCCGAGGGGAAATGGTTGATCAGGGCCTTATCAGAAGAGAGCATCTGTGCATTATTGCTTCATTCATCACTAATGGTCTATCTTCAGTGTCATTCCCTCCGATGCCAGTCTGAGGCCGGGTCTGTCTCCCTGGCCGTGGGCATGTATTGAATACTCCGTTCCTCGGGATCCAGTGGGATTTCAGTTTCCCCAAGTTTTCATGATCTCCTTGCAAGCTCTCACCGATGACCCCGTCCTGCCCTGCCGCAGAAACTGCAAGGAGGCTCCTCATGTATTTTCTTGGTTTTCCTCACCAGGGAGCTGAACCGGAATCGAATTCGCCTTATCGAGGGGCTGACTTTTCAAGGGCTTGATAATTTGGATGTGTTGAAGCTGCAACGCAATAATATTAGCAAGCTGACAGATGGGGCTTTCTGGGGTCTGTCCAAGATGCAAGTATTGTAAGTAGGAGACAGGAGTTGTGCTTCCTGTCAGTAGGAGGGACCCCAAATGGGGAAGGGCCTTCAGTGACCCTGCAGGCCCTTTTCTCTTGGTTGATTTGGGTCTTCAACTTATGGGCCACCATTCTTGACTCATGAGAATTCCTGTAACTTTGGATAGAAGGAGCCTTGGCCAAAACCTGATGCTTCTTTCAACACGTTGTTTCTAAGTTTTGGAAAAAAAACTCAGTGTGTGGACCAATGTTCAGGATTTATATATTCAGGGAGCAAAGGTAGCCCTGCTCCTCTCCCCAGCTCCCCCACCCCCTAGATCATGCTTATGTTTCTGTCTCCTTTAAGGACGAACCACCGAATGGTCACCTCCCTCCTTCTTACATCCTCTCCCTGACCTTCCTCACACCCTCCAGCCAGATGGGGTTTTAGGGTTTTGGAGTTATCTTTGGTCTCCAGGTGGGCTTGTAACATAGAGTTTGTTTTGAGAGATTTATTTGTGTCATACATTTCCTATGTTAATCATGACTGTCAAGCCATTGCAGATGTCTTACTTTCTATCAGAGGAGCTTTGTCCTTTACCAGATATTTACAACTGGAAAGCTCATTTGTTTGTTTTTGTTTTAAGTAACTAGGGAAGAAATATACTAAATGAAAAAAAAACTCACTTATTTTTGACTTATAAACATTTATTAAGTACCTGCTGTGTGCTAGGTACTGTGCTAAATGCTGGGGATACAAAAAGAGGCAAAAGACAGGCCCTGCCCTCAAGGAGCTTACAATCTACTAAGCCCTTACAATCCAAAATACTAGTGATGCTTTTGCCCTGAGCAAGAGATAAAGGGAGAACCTGGTTCTCCCAAACCCTGATCTGGGGTAAAGGGATATCTTTGTTCTCGACTTAAAAGAAGCTTTGTGTGTGTGTCTTGGTTCTCTGATTGATTCTGCCCTTGGACATCCCGTAGGCACCTGGAATACAACAGCCTCACGGAAGTAAACAGCGGCTCGCTCTACGGCCTCACTGCCCTGCACCAGCTTCACCTGAGCAACAACTCCATCTCGAGGATTAACCGGGACGGCTGGAGCTTCTGCCAGAAGTTACACGAACTGTGAGTGCCACCGCTGCTGTCGTTGGGGTGGGGCCACGGGCTTTCTTAGTGAGCTCCCTCAGATAATAGGGGTCTGGTGGCTGCAGGGGGAAAGGAAGTCCTGGTTGTTTTTATGTCAGGACCTCAGTACTCCGAGAGTCAGATTAGGAAACGCGTCCTTCCCTGTGCTGAGGAAGGCTCGTGCCTCCCCGGTGCTGTGCCCCAGTGCCAGAGAGGCTGTTCTCTGCCATGAAGCCCGTGCCCCAGAGGGTTTTGTGAGCTGCTTCTCCCCCATCATGGATGAGAAGGTGACTTTATATAGGCCCACGGGCTCATTCTGCTGCTGTGTAATGGGGAGGGAATTCTAGGCTGTGTAACGGGGGCATGATTTAGTTCCCAAACCCGGGGGGGGGGGGGGGGAAGGATACAGCAAGGGAACCTGGGACCTGACATATGGACTTGGAATGTAACTTGGAGTCCTTGCTTCTCTTCCTCCACACCTGTTGCTGATTGAATTATCTCCTCTGTCTCCAGCGGCGCTCTTCTGTTTTGTGGTTGGGTTTTAAAGTAGATAGGAGGGCAGCTAGACTCCCGGAGTCAGGAGGACCTGAGTTTAAATCTGGCCTCAGACACATAACACTTACTAGCTGGGGAAGTCCCTTAACCCCATTGCCTAGCAAAAAAAAGAAAAAACAAGTAGATAGGAGGGTCTCCCTTAAGTGGAGAATGAGGGTTCAAACCCTTCCTTAAAAGATACATACTTAACCCCCAGTTTCAGAGGCAGGCAGGTATGTAACATGGGAATAGTATTAATACCCATTGAGCATATCTCACAGACACCTATCAGATGACATGACTTCTGTAAGGCATTATATCAGTGTGACCTTTTATTAAGGTGCCTACTCCCCTGTTGTCCCAGGTAACACCCAGGGGGAGAGTGGATGAGGCCGTCCCCAGGGAAGGCCCGGCCTTGTAGGACGTCTGTTTGGGTGCCCAGGCTATATGTGGACACGAAGGCCTGCTAGAAATCACTAACAGTCTTATAAAAGTGAATGTTGAAAACTAAATAAATAAATATTAAGGAGGGAAAAAAGAAATTATTTTTAAAAATCACTAGCAACCATCCCACATATCACACAGAATAAAGTACCACAAACATCCCCTTTCTTTGATCACTTCCACTCTATATATTCCCTGCATTTAAAACACTTTTCTCCCTAAAAGAATGTCAAATAAGGGATTTTCCAGCTTTCCTTCCGTTACCTGAGATGGAGAATCCTTTATTCCCTAGGAGTCTTGGTAACGTTTTCTGGGGGATGACTCACAGAAGCACAGAATATTATTAATACATAAGGGGACCTTAAAATTCATTTTAGCCCAGTTCCTTCATTTTCCAGATGAGGAAACTGAGGCATGACAGCTTGTCCAAGGTCCTAGCCAAAGGCGAGATCTTGACCATTTTAAAAGACACCTGCCATGTTCTAGACACCGTTAGGTGAAGCCCTTGAGACATAAAGACACAAATGAAACAATCTTGCCCTCAACTAGATTACGTTTTATTGGAATGATGGATCCAGAATTCTGGATCCCCTGGGGTTGTGGTAATGGGGATCCTTTGGATTAGTGATTCCACAAACACTGCTTAGTCTGTGCCAGGCATTATACTGAACACTGGGGACTCAAAAGCAAACATGTTCCCTGTCCTCCTAGAGTTTACATTCTGATGGGGGAGAAGATGTGGAGACAATGGCAAGCAGTAAGCATTTATTAAGTGCCGCTGATGTATGAGGCACTGGCCTGGGCCAGGAATACAAAGGAAGGCAGAGGCAGAGGAGACGGAGATGGTGTACGGGATACAGAGCGGATGGAAGGTGGCATCGAGGCAGAGGAGGTGTCTCGGGGGGAGGCCCTTTCCTGCTCGGCCGCACACGGCCTCCGGTTGTGATTTCTGGGTGGTCTTTTTGCTTTTGGCTCTTCACAGCCTCATTCTCCTCTATTAGCAATGATAACCAGCCTTTTATAACCGTCTTACATGGCCAGCATCATTCCGTTAGGACCTGGGTAAAGGAGGGAACCATGAGAGATTCCCCCCCCAGAATCTCGGCCAACTTTTCCTGCTCGTTCTCTGGGTGATACAGCCTCGTGATCACCATCTTTGCACCTTCCCATTTTCATCACCGTAAGGCCCCTGGAGCTCTCCCCAGACTTCCCACAGCTCGATTTTCTGCTCTCACTGAGAACTGTATCAAAGGCTTTTTTCACACTCTAGCAATTTCCTTATCAGTAATACGTACCCCCCAAGGAAGGAGACCCACTTATTCAGCTTGGTGATTGACTGAAAGGAACACAAGATCGTAGATGTGATTCTTACTTTTTAATTCTTGGGGGGGGCATCTTTATGTGTATCTGTTTCTGGATAAGATTATTTGTATTTCACCATGTGCATCATTACCTAATGTAAAAATCATCAAATCTGATGTTTTTCACCGAGTGGTTATTCTGCCTGGATATATTTAGGTTAACCCTTTCTGTTTATTGTTATGTCTTTCCAATAGTCCCAGATTGTTTTCTCTGTGTATACATCTATGAGTGTATGTATCTTCATGTATGCATGTGTATACGTATATACATATATGTATGTAAGTGTATGTCTATTTATAGAGACTGTGAAAAGACCCCCTTACTGCGTGAGTTAAGTTACTAGGAAGCTTGCTCCATGGTGCTTTTGAGAACTTAGAGCATTCAGAATCTTGGCTCTGCCTACTGTGTAACAGAACTCCAAGCAAGGCTTCTCACCTCTTGGGGCCTCTGTTCCTTCATCTTTTAAACGAGGGTCTTGGCCTGGGTGGCCTTGGAGGTGCTTGTGGGCTCTTAGTGCTGGGAAGAAGAAGGTTGGGGAACCAGAGATGTGTCTACAGGACCACTCCTGCCATGGTCCCCCCCTCCCCCCGGAGAACGGGGGTCTTAGAGCTTTCCAGGCTGTCCCAGGTTTGCTGATTCTTACAGAGCAGCGAAGAGAGCCGGGGGCCCACAGAGCTTCATCTGATGACGTTTTCCGGTGGTTGTGACAGAGACGGCAGGTAGATCCTCCAAAGCTGACCATTGTCCCCCTTTTGGAAAGCAGCAGGTGAGCGTGCCTTTGCCAGGCGTAGCAGGGAGGCCCCTTTGCACGGTTTCAAAGTGCGCTCACGGCCGGCCTTCACGTGACTTTCTTCAGGCCAGATTCTTTCATTGTAGGTGAGGACATGGTTTTGATCCTCTGCCAGGTCTGTATGACTTGATGCTGCAACTTCTCTAGGAGGGAAAGAATGTGGTTCCACGACTCCTTCAGACACGTTCGTCTTGCCTGAATCCCCTCCCCCCACCTTCCCGCAACACACTCTGTCTCTGTCCCTCTGTCTCTGTCTCTTTCTCCCACTTGCACTCACACACACACACACACACTCACACACACTCACACATGCTCTCACACAAACTCACTCTCTGTCACACTCACACACACACACATACTCTCACACACACTCTGTCTCTCACTCACACACACAAACAGCTTAAGGACAAAATAAGTGCTAAGTGTATCAAGTAAACAGCACTTGGTGTGTAGGAATGTGCATTGTTGTTACTTCTGGTGTCTTTATATTGCATGGAGGGAGGAAGGCCATGTGTGTTGCTGTGGCAAAAAAGCTGACTTTGAGGTCTGCTGAGCTAGGGTCGCTTCCCAGCTATGTTGTTGCCCAGGTGTGGGATGACTTTGGGCAGATCGCTTTCCTTCCCTGGCATCAGATTCGTTGTATTTTGTGGTCTTTTTTAGCTCTCTGCTGTTCTGAGCCTTCCTAATCTAAAACCCTGATGTCAAGGCTTCTGTTCTTATCAGTAGTGAGACTGGGCTAGCCTGGGCCAGATAGGGAGAGCCAATCTAGTAACAATTAATTATTATTTAATTAATTTAAATTTAAGTAATTAATAATAATTGTTACAATTATGATAACAACTGTAGTGATGATAATGCTAGTGCCAATGATAACAATAACAGATGAGGAGGAGGAGGTAGAGGAGGACATATTCATATATGTTGAAGATGCTTTCTGTGCAGTATCTGTCCTTCTTTGGAGGGTGCCCTGCACACCTGAGAGTGTTGACTCTGGAAGGGGCCTTGGAAATGCCCTTACTTTCCAGAGGCTCCCAGCAGTCAGGAGAGGCCTGCTCAGTGAGTGGGCAGGCTCTGGCTACCCTAGGCACATGCACGTCTTTTATACCTGGCTCTCTTCTCTGATGTGAGGTGGGCTAGGTGTTTGCGCCAGGTGATGGCTGGTGGTGTAAACACTGGCGCCCTCTGCTGGTTGCTTCAGGGAGTCTTGAGTCTGATCAGCTTCCAGTGTTGTGTAAGGCCAGTCCCATGTGTTATGCCTTGTCTTTGGTCTCCCGTTGCACATGGGCAGTCTGTCCTGTCTAGAGCTTGTTTGTACCGGGTTGCTGTCTCCCTCGTTGGACGGTGGGCTCCCTGAGAGAAAGCCTGTCTCTTTACCTTTCTTTGTGTCCTCAGGGTGCCTGGTGCATAGTAGGGCTTTCCTACTTTTTGACTTGACTCTGCTGTGAAAAGCAGCTTAGGATCACCGAATGATGACAGTAAATCTGTTTTTCACATTCCCCTCCGTGCAGTCAGCACTCCTGATCTCATTGGTCTGGCCAGGGAGCCTTGTGAAGGAGGGGATGCCCACGTCACACCTAGAGTAGGTTTGCCGAGGGACGGATTGGTAAAGCATCCTACCCCAGATCTCACAGCTAGTCACCCACCGTGGCTGAGCATAATGAAAGGAGGCCCTGTGGATAGGGTGTGGATGCTTGGTGGATGTCCCCTTCTCATCTCCTAAGTCACTGGCATTTAGTTGGCTGTGCCTGACCACAGGCAGGGGAATCCCACCCAGTGCATGCTTTCCACGAACTGAGAGGCTTTGGTGAAATGCCAGCCGAATCTCGGGAAGACTAGCCTGCTGGTTTCCTTGTGGCCTGGTTTGTCTTGGGTCTGGAGGGGATACCGAAGGCACCATTCCTCCTGAGGGCCTGGGGAGATCTACGTGAGGGATAGTGAAGAGAAGAGGACTGGTCTGATTGGCTTTTGTTATCTTTCCTCCCTCCACCCCCTCTCCCCCGCACCCCTCCCCCACCATCCTCTTTTCTCAGGATCCTGTCCTTCAACAACCTCACCCGACTTGATGAGGAGAACCTCGCTGACCTGAGCAGCTTACAGATCTTGCGTCTGAACCACAATTCTATCAACCACATTGCAGAAGGCGCCTTCAAGGGACTCAAAAACTTGCGGGTCTTGTAAGTGTTTTTTAATATCTGGGTTGTGGAGCACTTTTGGCTCCAGAGGCCAGTGCCCTGTTGGATGCTGAAAGACAGGGGGGAAACAGAGGAAGGAAGCTCTTCATTTTGGTGTGTCCTGGCCCTCGAAGTTCACACCCACTTCTTAGACTTCTCCCTGGCCTCCTTCAGAGCTTGCTCAAGGGTTCTTACATGAAGCCTTTCTTGATTTCCCCAGCTGCTAGTGCCTCCTGCACTACCCCCAATCACGTGGGTTTACTCTCCATTTCTGCTATCCATTTATTTTGTTTTCCCTGATAGAATGGAAGCTACTTGAGGGCAGGGACAATTTCCTCTCTTCCCTCCCCACCCTTAAATGACTGGCATGTAGTAGGCAGGATCAAAACCCGGACCTGGGATTGTTTCCTTTTTTTCTTCATATCCCTAATGCCTAGCACAATCTCTGGGATGTCGTAGGCACGTTTTAAATGTTTCTGGATTGATAGGCCAGGTGATCAAAATCCTGGCCTGGGGCACGCTTTGTAGAAGTCCTTCACTCCATGGGCATGTTTGGAAAGTAACCTGTCGAGAGCCAGAAGTATTTAGCATTTCCCCAAGGGTTGTCGGCTCTGCTGATGACTCTTGGAAGTTGATCAGAATTCCCAAAGTCCCCTTGGCCTGGTGGTGGGCTCTTTGTAGCGTTGGTGGTATCTTCCAGGTTCCGGTCATGGACCCCTTCCACCATCTGGATGAATAAGTTGGCCCAGAGTGAAGTGGGCTTAGGGCCTGGCTCTCACGGTCTTCTTGCTGCTGGGTCTCTCCCTGTTGTCATTTGGTTTCTAAGACCTAGAGAATTTCCATTCAGTCCAAAGTATACTGGGGCTATTTTGTGTGTTCTCTTCCTGACCTTTCCAGAGGAGCACTGTGCTCTGAATTGGTGGGAAACCACCACCGTCCAAACTAGATGGCTGCTTGTGTGGGGAATTGGCCAGGGTTGGGGGCGGGGGTGTTCTCTCCAATTCACGGGGCCTCCCTCATTAATAGTGGACAAACAAAAGGAGGGGGAGGATGGCGTCTCCTTCCTGGGTTCCCGGGCTTGGGGATGCTGGTTTGCTCCTTTCTATTGTGTTTGGCTTGGAGGAAGTCACTGTTAGGCTTTTCTGGGGCCTTTCCCAAGCTGGCATTCAGTGGGGTACGTTCCTCCCAGGCAGCTGCCAATGGGAGCATTTGGAGAGTTCCAAAGAAATCGGGCGGTGGAGTTCGCAGCCCCCTTGCTTGGGCCTTGGTGCCCCCAGTGAGTTCCAGTAAAGAGAGAAGAGGAAACAAGTGTGTGGGGCGGGGAGGGCAGGGAGCCCCTTCTAATTCAGGCCTATTGGTTGGACACCTAGTGAAAAAAACAACTAGAGCCTGCTTTAATTACGGCCTATTGTGGAGGGAGCCTTTGGTGAGGGTGAAACTGCTGAAATGCTGAACCTTTACACAGAGGTCAGGCTTGGGACCCCCTGCAACCCAGGGAGGTGATTAGCAAGGCAGCCACATTCAGGTTCAGCAGGCCAGAAAAATTAGGAAATTGGCAGCGGGGCTGGGGGTGCCAGAGAAGAGAGCACAAAGGCAGGGCTGCTCAGGAGAGCCGGCTTTTCAGCAGGAGAGAATAGGGGGTGCCGGTGGCTAAAAGGAGCTCTCCCTTCCCAGCGGCGAGATGTCTCAGCTCCTTTTAGCAGGACAAAGATCGCCCCAGAGCTTTCCTTCTTGGGGCCTCCAAACACAGCCACAATTGGGATGGCTTGGCCCTCTTGGAGGGAACTGGCTTCAGTCCCTTGTGCTCAGGACCAAGTGACTGGAGACTCCCTTGACATGAAAGAAGATGGAGAAGAGGGGGGCCGTGGGAAAGGGGCTTCTCTTGGTCAGGATCAGAAGAAGGAACAAGGATTGAGGAAAGAATGGGCTTGGCTCACAGAACCGTAGATTGGGAGCTGAGAAAGGGACCCTCAGAAGTCAGTTCAGCCTCCTGGATTTGCAGGTGGAGAAACTGAGATCCAGAGAAGGGACATACCAAGAAGCAGGCCTGGCATTTGAACCCAGGTCCTTTAACTCCCAAGTGTCCCCACTATGAGCTGCACCACCATGTTTCCTGGCATGATCAGCAGAGCTCATTGAATGCCAATATAAATGTTCCCCAATTTGCCGTCTGCTTCCTTTTTCTAATTTTAGGAAGCCATCTTTGAAGCAGTCAGTAGAATTCTAGTTTGGAAAAGGAATGAAGTCAGTTAGTTTGCAAATGTGTTTCCTGAACAAGTTAAGGCAGACGCCAGGCCAGGCAGGGCACAGGTGGCCACTCCACCTATCCAAGGTGTCCCCACACTCCTGGTGTGGCTTTATGTTTACACACTAAGACTTTTGGGGTGCCCTGCATTACACTTTATGGACTCCTGAAAAGTTGGAGCGCTGGAAGAGCCTTCAGGGGCCCCTAAGCCTTGGCCACCTGTGTATGTTTTCCGCTGTCTGGTCACATTCCTATGTATGTTTCAGTTTGCAAAGGGGAAATGCTCTGTCAGCCTCTTCCCAATCCCTTTTCTGTCCTTTGGGAATGATAGATTCAGGCCTGAGAAATTGATTGTGAGCTTTCTTTTGTCTTCTCCCCAGGGATCTGAACCATAACGAGATTTCGGGCACAATAGAAGACACCAGTGGGGCGTTTACGGGACTAGACAGCCTGAACAAGCTGTGAGTATCTCAGCGTTTGAAGTCCCAATGATCCCCTCATCTGTGGAGAAGTTCCCTCCGCTCCCCTGGAATCCGCCTTTGTTCTGGGCTCGGCCGGAGAATGGCAGGCCTCCACATAGATCTTCTTTTGTGGGGGAGAAAATGGAGGAGAGAGAGGGGCCTGCATCTGCTGACTTCACCAATAGCCTTTAATAGGAGTCCATGTGTTGATTCCACTGGGACCAAGGGCCCCCGTATGGATGGAGCCAGTAGGTATTCTCTACACCTGAATTCATCAAGAGGGTCTCAAGGCCTTTAGACCATAAATGGCTGTTTTTCGTCTTGAGAAAGTCATCCCTCGATTTCTTCAGAGGATTCCTTTTGGCTCCAGCCTCAGTTTTTAGGGACCTGTGCACATACGTGTGTGGGAGCTGAGGGTGGGGTAGGGGCAGTAAATCTTAGTTCACTGTCTAGAGGCTAATTGGGGGCTGGGGAGACTAGCTTGCTTGTCTTTGTCTCACCCTTATTCTCGGCTTGCCAGTTATTATCTATTTCTTATTGATTATTATATTTATGTATTATTATCTGTCCTGACAACAGAGGTGACAGAGGGAGATAAGGAGTGAGAGATGAGTTGTATTGCTCCTTATCACCAGTTCTCACAAAGACGTTTGGAAGGTGAAATCACAAGTATTATACCAGTTTGTGGTGTGTTACCCAGTGAATTTGGGCTTGATTTTGAAAGCTCAAGGAAGGCTAATTTGAGTGCTCTTTCACCAAGTAAGAAGTAAGGAGGGGAAGGGCAAAGAGGCAAATTTAGCCTTGAGAGAAGGAAAGGTTTCCTAAGAATTAGAGTTACTCAAAGTGGCCGTCCCAAGGCCTTTGGCTGTGATGTCCTCTCCTCCCCTTGTTGATTATTTTGAGTCATGTCTGACTCATGACCCCTTTTGGGGTTCTCTTGGCAAAGATACTGGAGTGGTTTGCCATTTTCTTCTCCAACTCATTTTACAGGTGAGGAAACTGAGGCAGGGTTAAGTGACTTGCCCTGGATCACACAACTAGTAAGTGTCTGAGGCCACATTTGAACTCGGTCTTCCTGCCTGCAGGCCCAGCACTCTATCCGCTGTGCCACCTAGCTGCCCTAGGGGGCTTCAGTCCTTCAAACGCTGGGTTGCCGTGGTATCAGTTGGACAAGATGGCCTTTCTGGTCCTCTCAAGCTTTTGTGGTTCTTTGAATTAATTGTTGAGTCAGTCCCTTTGTCAGCTAGACCACTGTCACTCATTTGCTGAATTTAAACCAACTCCTTTAGAAAGCTTTGAGCTATTTCTGTCCCTTGTTTTGTGAGTGTTACTTGCCCCACATTGGCATTGCTGTAAGTGGCAGCTCACCTGGATTGCTGTAGGATGACATCATTTGGACTGTTTGTTCATAATTCATCTACGTAAGGCACTAAAGCTTGTTTTTGTCTCAAGGGCCTTATAAGGTGTATGTTGTGCAAGAATTATCCCCATTTTGCAGATGAAGAAAGTGCTTGGAGGTGAAGGGGTCTGCCCATGATCACAACATTAATAGTCCTGCAGACCCAGGTGTCCTGACACCAAGTCCAGCACACTTTCTACTCTGCCCTTTGATACTCCATTAATGCAGATAACTACATTTCCATTCTTGTACCCATTTCTTCCTTACCGACCTACTAGGCCCCCTTAATTTCTCTTTTAATGGTCTCAACTGGTTTTGTGTCTGCACGTGTTGGGATATCTTCTAGTCTTGTCAGGGAACACATGAAAAACATTCGGGAAAAGTTAGGAATGTCATGGAAAGCCTGTCTTTTAGGTAGAGTCAGTTCTAGCTCTGGGTAGAAAGTACTGTGGACAGATGCTATTCAGCCCAGTTCTGTAATGTATGTCCTCACGAGCCCATCTTCCAAGGTTAAAGATGGTAGGTACTTGAGCCCCAAGGTTGCCTGTGTGTGTTAAAGAGGGGTGGTTCTTTCAGGAACATGTGCAGTAACTTTCCCATCTGACTCTCCTCCATTATGTTCAGTCCCATGCCAGAATCCAGGGCCCCAGGTCTTCAGGGTACCAGTTTCCCACAGGTCTGTCCCTGGAATTCAGTAAAGAGGTGTGTCTGAACAGATACATTCCTACCGAAGAACCTAGAACTGAATGCTCTTGGGTATTTGTGATATATTGTAAATCAGGTTCTTCTTAGTAAAAGGGAGTCTCCTTAGTAGTTAGAGGACATTACATCTTTTTGTTTCTAGAGTTTTCTTCTCTGTCTTTGGCTGTGGGTTGAGCGAAGTGCCCAAAGAGCTCTGGAATCCGAGAAGACTGTCCACCCCACCTTCACTAATGTAGTCTTAGGATGTTAGGAGCATGTTGGGTACCTCTATGGCCAAACTCCTTGCATACAAGCAATACCCCTGATGGGTGATCTTTCATCATGGAGTGCTCACGGGTCAGCCGTAAGGATCATGAAATGGTTCCCTTGTCACCACCATTGGGAAAGGCAACCTAGAACTGGTGGCATCGTGAAGAAGGTGTTGGACTTTGTCTTGTTAGGAAGACTTGCCTGGATCTAAAGCCAGCTACAGATACTGACCTAGCTCAATCTTCACTGCCATGTCACAACCTCTCTGAGGTATCATTTCTTCATTTATAAAAATGGGAAACCTGCCTGTAGGTTTGACTGAGGTGATGCTGGGTGGCACCATGGTGTACAGGATGCCAGGCCTGGAGTCAGGAAGACTCTATTTTTTTAGTTCAAATCCAGCCTCAGACATTTACTGGCTGTGTGACCCTGGGCAAGTCATTTAACTCTGCCTCAGTTTCCTCATCTGTCAAATGAGCTGGAGAAGGAAATGGCAAACCATTCCAGTATTTCTGCTAAGAAAACCCCAAATGGAGTCACGAGGAATTGGATATGACTTAAAACATGACTGTCTCCTGACTGAGGTGATGTTTAAAAAAGCACTCTGAAAACCTTAAATTGTTGTAGTTATATGTAATAAGAATAATGGCAGTGCACACTTTATAGGTTTTCAAAGCACTTTGCAAATATTACCTCATATGATCCTCATACCAACCCTGGGAGGTAGATCTGTTCTTATCCCCATTTCACAGATGAGTACACTGAGACAGATGTTCCTGGGGTCACACAGTCGGCGTCTGAGGCTGGATTTGATTTCAGAACTTCCTGGCTCTAGGTCCTTGTTGCTACTAGTATTACTACAGTCTCATGTTCTTTTTTAACTCATTTTATACTGCTGCTGCCCCCCTAAATATCCCAACCTCCTCCCCCATAAAAACCACCACCACCAAATTATATTCCCAAATAGCCCTGGTGTCAGTCATAGTACTGAATACAGAAAGGCTTGGGAGCATTTTGGGATAGAAAATGGGGTCACTTTTGCAGAGAACCATTAGACGAATGAGCCAGTAGCACTCTACACAGGACGACAGTAGGACAGTATTTGTCTTTGAAAACCCTGAGCATTAGGTGCGGCTAAAAGAGGTGGGCAGAATGCACTCCTTCCCTCTTGCCAGACTTCACTGACTTTATCGAAGGACCCTGGTTTCTTCCCAGTCTACAGCAGGCCCGACCACCTTTCAAATATTCCCAGAAAGGGAAGACCACAAAAGGTGTGAGTAAAGACACCATGGGAGGGGGGGGAATTTCACCCTGATTTTTGTGGCTGTTGAATATGGTCATTTTAGATAATTCTTTCAACCGGAACATCTGGCCAGGTGAACGAGCTTTGCTTCCTCCTGACCGTGATGGCCGTTACTGGCCAGGCCAGTAACGTTTGTGTGTCCCACTGACGCACTCTTTTTGAACACCTGCTCATGGCCTGTATCATGTCACAAAAACACACAGTATGTGAGGAGGAAAAGGAGAATGGCGTGGACACCGAAATAACTGCTCATAGGCTCTCCTTACAGTAAGAGAGCAATTAGTCATGTGTCCCAATGGGTAATGACAAGTGCTTGCCTCTGAGTTCCATCTTACACTGCCACGTTCCACAGAGGGGAGTAATATTGAGTTACAGGTGGTAGGTATGAGGGGCTTGGGGAGAGGAGGAAAAGGAGTCTGGTAGGAAAAAAACAAAAACACTGTCAGTCTAGAATTCGATGATAAACCACTGTTTTTTTACCTTCATCTGGATAGAACTGTCTGGATTTAGATGCTTTCCCTACAGAGGAGGGGGTGAATTTCTACCCCCTGATCAGTGCCCACATAGGGGAAGAGAACAGGTTATTCTGCTCCAGGGCACACCGGTGGCAGACTTGCTCCCCAGAAGGCAGCCTAAGGGCCCACCATTATATCTACCCAACAATTGACAAAGATTGGTTTAGCTAAAGCCGAGGCTTTGGCAACCTCATGATTGTGTAAGGCTTACCACTGGTTTTGAGTTTCCATTTTGGATGGTGGGAGTATTGATAGATGGGGAATCCAAGCTGCTTTTAGTATGTGCAGTGTGTCTAAGTGACATTACGCCAGAGATGACTAGTCCTGATGGCTTCCGTGGATATCCATTTCCTTAGTCATGAAGTCAAGCCCACACTCCTCTCTGGGATATCTTGGGGTAGTCTGGGAGCCCTTGGGAGACCCTCAGATCCAGCCAAAGCCTTGGTTATCCATCATGAAAGGGAGAGAGAAGAGTGCAGACAGCTGAAATCCACATAATCCAGAAAACCACAGCATGGCCTAGGGTTTCAATTCTCATCCATTCAGCCTCTAACTGGAGTTGTGAACACACGGGAGAAGCCACTGGTCATTATTTAAACCCTGCTTCTTTCTTTCTCTTCGCTGCGCACTTTCTGGTGGAAATGTTAATGCTCAGTACCACATAAAGTTTGGGAGAAAATAGGACGCTGATTGATCTACCGACCGTATAATTTGAAGGGGGGATGGGGGACCTGAACCTGTAATTACATCAGCCTAAAGAACCCCTGGTGAGTAAACCCCCTACCAATGGAATGGTTGCCTGGGGTTGAAGTGACTTGCTTAGGTTTACTCAGCTATTGTGTGTCTGATGCAGGCCTTGAACAGAACAACTATTCCTTGAGTAATAGGGAATGGAATTGTTGTCCCCACTAGAAAGAAAAGCCTTCCCTCCATATAAAATAGGCTCCTGGAAGAAACATGTCAGTGAATGAAGTAAAACCCAGCTTAATCCTAGCGTGAGATTAGGCGACCTGTATTTACTGTTCCGTGGAAGCTCATTTTTAAGCATTTAGGGAGGGGTAAGTGAGGCAGCTGTGGTGTAGGGAAACAAACAGCCTGGATCCTGAATCAGAAGTCAACTGGGTTCAGGTCCTGGTTCCTCCATTTGCTGATCACATGATGGTGGGCAAACCACTTCATCTCTGAGCCTCAGTCTTTCCATCTCAAAAATGGAAGTCATAATGCTTGCCCTTATAAGACACCACAGACGTGTGCTACTGCTGTTTTTCTACACCATTGTCAGGGGAAGCAGTGTAGGTTTTCTCTTCTCCCTTGCTCTCCTCAGCCTTGCCTGAAAGTTAAGACTTGGATGGTGCTCTTTGGGCATCTTCTAAGTGGAGAAGCCAAGAACAGTAACCTTTTTCTTGTGATTTCTCCTCTCCTCTTTCCTTCTGCCCCTCTTTCTGAAGAAAGACGGATGCTTCAGGACTACCTTTGGGGCCATGTGGGACATGGGCCTCTGTAGCCCCTTACCTTGGGCCACCTTCGTCCCCTGAGTTGGGGGAGGAACCATATCATCCCACCCATACCCCTACAGGGTTAGAACTTGAAACCGTGATTAGACTGAATTTCACAAAAAGACGGACTTGTAGAGTTGGAAGGGGCCTTGGGGTCTCCCTAGTCAAAGTCTTTCCTGAAAAGGAAGAGCTTTAGCATATGACAAGTGGGCTTTGCCTGAAGACCTCCAGAGAAGGGCCACTTTGTCCTTCGGTCAGCCCTCTCTCCACTTGCTTCTTGGTGACTTCTGTCCTCAGAAGGAACTCTTAGGGACCTTTGCAGCCCTGCAGCCAGTGGCCATGCCCCCCATCTCCCTTGAGCCAGATTCCTTTATCTTCTCTAGGCTGCAGCTTGCCCTCACTCTTCCCTTAAAGTGAGCACCAGGTCTTCCTTTCCTCCCCGAGGATATCCATTACTAGCCGTCTTTGTGTGATCACCGAAGAGGCTGTGGTTTCCTCTCCTCACTAGCAGAGAAGAAGGGGCCAGAAGTAAATCAGAATGGTTACATGGAGAGTTTCTTTTTCCTTCAGTGTCCTCAGCTCTGTCCATGGGGGGTCCTTGGTGATCACCTCATGGGGCAGGACCCGAGGTGATTTTTAGCAGGTTGTCACTAGTAAATTCTAAGAAAGAAAAGAATTGCATTTCTTGATGGGGTGGGGGGAGTGCTGCATATATCGGCCCCTGGGGCTCAGCGCAGGTCGGATTCATGCTCCAGGATCAGATCTTGCCACTCTAACTAGGTTTTGTCTTTTTCCCATTTCCCGTTCCACCCACACACCCTTAGCTGGTTTTTTCTTTTTTTTTTGGGAGAGGGTAGTTTTCCTTTTGTTCATCTGGGTACTGTCTGTTTGGAAACTGCAGGACTCTGTTTGGAAACAAGATCAAATCCGTGGCCAAGAGAGCGTTCTCAGGGCTGGAAGGCCTGGAGCACCTGTGAGTACCCGCCATGCCTTGCTGGGTGGAGGGGCCTGCCAAGCAGGGCTGCCTGAGAAGTCTGCTAGCAATTTAATAGTGTCTTTGTAAACTGAGAAGGCAGGCTGTTGGGAGAGGCCAGCTGCTTCCTTCTCATTATAAGTCAGCTTCAACTTTGCCCTTTATTCGGTGGGTGCCAGGAAGGGCGCTTGAGAACATATGGCAAATTAGGGTGCTCTCAATTAATGGGATTGTATTGGAGTCCGTAATCTTCTCTCCTGCTCCCCTCCCTTCCTAGCCTCAGGATCTCACGGGGCTCCTCCCCGGGGCCAGGCTCCATTGCTAGCTCTCCCTAATGTCTGGTACTAGAAGGGACAGCTTTAGAGTAATGTTCTCTCTTGGCCCAGTTATCTTTGACCAGTTCTTCCCTCTGCCCCCAGGAGGTCAGAGCAAAAGCAGAGACGTCATTGCTGTCCGTACTTGAGATGCCTGCAGCAGTGGCTTTCTGACTACCTGTTCCCTTTTTGGAAGCCAGTCTAGTTCTTGAATTGTTCTGGGAGCTCTTAGCTAATGATTCAGTGAGGCCTTTCTTTTCCAGAAGAATAGAAGCTCCAGAGGGCAGGGACTGGTTTTCTTTTTTGTCTCTGCACATTCAGTGCCTGGCACCACACAAAGTAATTTTGCAGATGTTGAGTGATGACCTGTGGGTGACTCTCGGCAATTTTTACAGATTCTACAAGAGTTTAGTAAGCACCTCCATCAGATCGTGCTTCCCCCCAATTTAAGATGATGCTGATCTGTGCAAAGAAAAGAACTGAAAAGAGCTGGTCTTTCTTTGGACCAATGCAGCATCTGTTTTTTTTTCTTGTCCTTTTCAGGAACCTTGGAGAAAATGCAATAAGGTCCATCCAGTTTGATGCTTTTGCTAAGATGAAGAATCTTAAAGAGCTGTAAGTAATTTGGAATGGTGTGTGTGTGGGGGTGTGTGTGTGTGTGTGTGTGTGTGTGTGTGTAAGTAAGGGGAGGTGCCTCTGTGGGCTTTGGGTGGAAGGGCAGAGACAGATACAGAGAGACAGATTAATAATCAGAAAAGTTAAAATTAACTATATTCCATCATCATTGATTTTATTTGAATTTCTGTGCATTTAATTTTATCCCTTTAAAAACATCCCAAGAAGGGGTCCCTAGGTTTTACCAGATAGCTAAAAGGGTCCATCTCTCTCTCTCTTTCTCTCTCTCATTCACTCACACACACCCATTTGTTAATAATCTCTGTTTTTAGACATCTATGTTTTTGCCAGTCAAGTAGTTTATTTAAATGAGTCCCATTTGGAATCATCCAGTCAACGAAATAATCAGTTTTTCATTTATCTTTCGTCATGGATTGAATAAGCTTGCTGCCATACACAGCGAAGACTCCAAGAACCTAATTTTGTTTTTCTCTTTCTTTGCAAGTATGAGAGTCCCCGAAGCAGGGCCCAGGTTGGGGCTGTCATCCCATGTGTTGGCAGAGCAGGCTTCTTTTCTACTTGCTCCTATCTCTTATTTTCTACTTATGCCTTCTTTTTGGAGACTTTGAAAGATTCTTGATTTCACCAGTGTATCATCGACGGGAGTCACAGCTGTTTAAAACAGATTCAATTAGTGGCCAGTCTTTGAATGAATTAACCTTGTATCCAGGTCCCTGCAAATCCCATGATTCTAGATACAGCAAAACCAGTGTTATTTAGTGATGAGTGGAGTGAACCTGGTCCTTGCTGATGTAGCCTGAGTAGAGAATTCGTTAGCCTTTTACTCATTAGATCTTTTAAATGCATCGGAGCGCCAGATTCCTTCATCTGTGATTGGAACTTTGGAGGCTTTACTGGTGAGGACAAATTGATCCCCGAGCTAGTCAACCTGATTCCTAAAAGAATCTTCCTTTCTTCCTTCCTTCCTTCCTTCCTTCCTTTCTTCCTTCCTCCCCTCCCTTTTCCTTCCTTCCCCCCCTCCCTCTTTCCTCCCTCCCTCCCTTCCTTCCCTCCTTCCTTCCTTCCTTCCTCCCTCCCTTCCTTTCCTCCTTCCTTCCCTCCTTCCTTCTTCCCTCCTTCCCTTCCTTCCCTCCCTCCCTCTTCCTTCCTTCTCTTCTTCTCTCCCTCCCTCCTTCCTTCCTTCCTTCCTTCCTTCCTTCCTTCCTTCCTTCCAGGGTAAAGGGAGATATGTTAGCACAGTAGAGTGTTGGATTTGGAGTGAAAGGACTCGAGGACAGTCGACTCCTTCTGGGCCTCAGTTCTCCCATTTATAAAATGGAAGGGGATTGTGCCAGATGATGCCTGAGGGCCCCTTCTACTCTAGCTCTGTGATCCCAAGTTTTTTTGGTTTGAAGGTGATTTTCTCTTTCATCCTCTTCCTGATTCGGCTCCTCCAGCAGTGGGGACCACCAGTCATGTTTTGACCTGATTCTGGACCCCAGTCCTAGAGCTCTTGTCTGAGATTGCAGTGAGACCCTGCATTTCCCCAGCTTAGTGCTGACTCTGGCCTGAAACCAGCCTTCTGGTGGGGATTTAGCCACAAATTCTCCTTGCTCGTGTCCCCCTCCCTCCCCTCCACTTCTTGGTTGCAGGCAGGTTGTGCTGCCCGCTTAGTCATCCTCTGGGTAAATTTCCACAAGCAATGATTGGAAACACACTTCAAGTTGGAATCAGGAAAATGTATATTCTGGCCAGTGCAGTATTGGAATAGCTAGAGCGTTAGGCATCTCAAGGCAGTGCCTCTTAGCTGGGAGAGTGGTTGGCTGGGCTGCATTTTAAAACAATAGGATGAGGGGCAGCTAGGTGGTGCAGTGGATAGAGCACCGGCCCCGAAGTCAGGAGGACCTGAGTTCAAATCCGGCCTCAGACCAAACACTTGACACTAGCCATGTGACCCTGGGCAAGTCACTTAACCCCAATTGCCTGGAAACTAAAAAAAAAAAAACCAAAAAACAAACAAACAAAAAAACCCGATAGGATGGAAAGAGTCAGGGCTACCTTTGGGAAGCCAGCCTTGTTAGGACATGGCTGCCTTTTGCGACACAGCTTCCTGCTTCTTCCCAGGGGTTTTCTGTCTCCACCTGCCAGGCTTCACCAACGTACCTTTCATCCCTAGGTGAGGGATGTTTCCATCTTAGCTTGGTGACCGTTGCCTTCCTTTTTGGCTGGATTTCCCCTTGTGGTATCAGAGCATCTCTTGGTCAAGGGTCCTTACTCCCCAACACTTCCTAGATCGTCATTTCTTCCAGAGACGGAGAAAGGGAGGGATCAGCATGGGGGAGCAGAGTAGTCATCTACCGATGAAGCAAGCCAAGTAAAGCCAGCAACATCATACAGGTGGCAAGGGCTTTGTTTGGCTCTTTTCATACTCATTCTTGTTAGTAGTAATATTTATTTTCTCGGACTGAGAAGCCTATTCCTGTAAATCGTAGAATTAAAAGTAGTTCTCTGCCCAGATGAATAGCTGAAGACTCTTCAGGAAGGTAGCATGACTTATTTTTGCTATGCCTGGGATCTCCTTCTTGACCATTTGGAAAGGCAGTTACGCTATACCCCTTACAGTGTGGAGGACATGGGAGGTGGAGCTGGTCAGTTGTCAGCTCTGCTGCTTGGATCTGTGAAAATGCTTCTTGGGGCACCGAGTTCTACCCTTGGCTATACAGTCTGGCTGAGGAGAGCCAGGCGGACGACCCCTCAGAACAGTCCAAGAGCCTTCTAAAAGTTCTGATCCATTAGAATTAGTACTAGTCAACCATGATACAATCCAGGACACAGTCAGTCCTGGAAGACTTTTGGTTATCCTTTGTAATATCCTCTTGGGTTTGAGAGAGCAATCTTGACCGATTTTTAAGGCCTACATCAGAGGTGTCAAACTTGGTGCCTGCAAGACGCTGCAGTGCCCCTAGAATCAGATTAATGTGTGGTTGGGAAATATTTAACAAGATAAGTAAATACAGTATGACATAGATAATGTTAATTGGTGGTTTTCTAAGCCAACACTACTGGCCTCCATGAGCCTGAAGATCGTGTTATTATTTTTAATAATATTTTATTTTTTCCCTAATTACATGTTAAAGCAATTTTTAACATTTGTTTTTAAGATCACATCATAAGTCAGTTTTTAACTCCGTCCCCAAATGAACTAGTTTTTAACAAGTGAAGGTATTTAAACTGATGGCAAGGGAGTAGAGCCGGGAGAGTGCTCAACCGCATGGAAATGACTTACTCCTTTTAAGTCTCTAGTCCAGGAGATGTGTATGGGCTCCTTGCCACCCAGTTTGACAGCAGGTCTCTCACCCTGGATTACTAGTTTGTTTTTTTTTTTAAAGGGGGCCAGAGTGAGAAAACAAAACATTGTTGCTTAATTTGAGGACCTTGGTTAGCTATGAATCTCAGATGTTAATGCCTTCTTTTCTCCTGGACCATGGGAAGTTGAGCTTGGGCTGTAGTCAGAAAATCTGTTTGCTCTCTCAAAACCTACCCTGGTCCTTCTCTGGTCTCCTCCCTGGTATCTTCCCACTACCCACAAGCCAGTGTGGAGGGCTTTTGAGGGCCTGCAGCAAGCCGATTCACCCTGGCCCTCGAGCTGACTTCTTGTCAAGTGACTCTGTGTGAAGGAATGTCCGTTTAGATGGCCATTCTGATTTCTGGTGAAAAATCCCCTTCTTGGTTGCTGAGAAATGAAGAAAGAAAACAGTCACTGTTTTGATTGGATCCATACGAAACCAAGGCTTTGCATTCTCATGCTCCCAGTGCAATGGCAACTGCCGGGCGCTGTTTACAAAGAGCCTAGCTGAATCCCACAGACCTCCAAAATAATGCGGGTGCACAAGGAAATACCCAAACAGGGAGGGGGGAGCACACTGGCCAGGGTTCCATTTTGAAATATTAAAACATTCGTCTTTGCCAAATAGAAAATAACAGCTGGAACGAGATAGAGATAGAGACCGAGAGAGACAGAGACAGAGAGAAAGACAGAACTAGACCTTCAGAGAACTTGTTTCCTCCTTGGTTAGCCAAGTTTGCGATTGATTCTCCTCTTGAATTTTCTTCAGGTCATCTTTTCTCTACGTCATTCAATTCCAAGCATCATTTGAAAATGGAGCGAGTGGACCTATATACCTTATTCATTTTATAGTTGTCATCCAAAAATTATAGATAGAGGTCTGGAAGGCACTCCAACAATCACTTAGTTCTGCCCTGTCATTTTACCTATGAGGAAACTGAGGCACAGGGAAGGGAAGGTTTCTTGTCCACAGTCATGAAGTTGGTAATTTGCAGAGCAAGGATTTCCATGCCACACCCCTGAAACAGTCCACAGGGTGAATGCCTTTGGGTTTCAATTCAGGTTGTTGTCATTCTCTGGACTGTGTGAAAATCCCCCACCTGCTATGTTAATGATCTTTTGGGAAGGATTGGGAGGAGAGGGGTGTTGATAGATGGGTCTGAAATAGTTACACGTGTTGAGACTCACTCCCCAGGGTTTTCGACTAACCGTGGTGTCATTTTTTTCTTTCAGCCACATCAACAGTGATAGTTTCCTGTGTGACTGCCAGCTGAAGTGGGTGCCTCAGTGGTTAATGGGGAGAGGCCTCCAAACGATGGTCGTGGCCACCTGTGCTCACCCCGAGTCCCTGAAGGGCCAGAGCATTTTTTCCGTGCCACTGGAGAGTTTTGTGTGTGGTAAGACCATCTTGGTGGCTTGTCATTCAACTTCTGAGGTCAGGCTTAAGGTCTGAGATGCCAGGGAAAACTTGTCATTCGTTCTGGAGTGATTTGTGGGATTGCCGCAAAACCCTGGCCATGGTTAGAAATTTATTGCTGGATGTGCTCTATTTCCCACTGAAACCACACATGGGATTTACAGGGCCCTTACTGCATGCTCTTTAAGGGGGTGCAATTCACCAACAATTCACCAAGGAGATCTTGGTTATAGGAAGTCATTTAGCAACTTGCTGTAGTATGCTTGGGTATGAGGACTTAGCCTTGGTCGAATCTGCATCATGTGGTCCAAGGGTCTTAGGGGGATGCTGCTTTAACCCCCAAGGGCCAAAGGTTATATACAGGAAGATGAAGTCTCTGGAGAATGCATCTCTAAATACATAGAGCTATCTAAACATCATTGTTCTATATTCCCAAGCCCTCCTTATTGCCCAGGACAGTTTTACAGACTGAGCTTTGGTTGACTGAAATTTGCATTTGTAGCTTTAAATTTTTTTTTTCCCTGGTTTGTTCTGGTTTTTGGAATGTAGCTTTTCCTCTCCTTTTGTCCCAGGGTGGCTCTAGCCAAGTATGGTTACAGATGAGCATAGAGAATCCTGAACAGCTGAACACACACACACGCACACACGTCTGCGTTTAAGCCGGTACGGTAAAGCCTCGTGGCCAGAAAACTTCATTGAAAGGAGGAGCTGAGTTTTCAATTGCTCCTTTTACTTTAAGCTCCCTGTGCCAGCCCCGAGGCAGCTCACAGAGGGGGCCCTTGGCTCAGCTGACCCCCTTTGTTGCTCTCCTTTGCTGCAGAGGCTGGGCTCTATAGAAAGCAAACAGGTGAATGCTGGTGGTGCTCATTGTTACTTTGTCAGCAGAATTCACTCTCGGTATTGCTGACTAGCTTGAGATCAGTTGGGGGAGGCAGTGTGGCACAGTGGATGGTGCTCTGGATTGGAATCCAAGAGCTGGGTTGCAGTCTCAGCTCTGCTTCCTATCAACCTTCCCTTAAGGCGTCAGGCTGCCTCTTCCTACATGAAGCCTTCCTTTGTGGCCCTCTCCATCAAATTACATCATATGTGCCCAAGTCTGTACGTTATATGTGTGCTTGGGAGAATATAATGGTAGGGGCCTTTAGGTTTTAGAATCTACAACTAGAATGTAGTACAGGGACCTTGGGCAAGTCGCTGAGTGCTTCGTTTCCTCAAACATGATCAGAAGAGGCGAGGCCTCCGGGGACTTCCATTAATGCTGTGTCACCTTCTCTGAATATTATTCTGAGTCTTCCAGCATTCAGGATTAGTCGGTGATAGCCCCACTGTCCTCTGGCCTGGTAAAACTCCACCTGGTGTATCATGTTCTGTTCTGGGCCTCACATTTTTAGTAAGGGCAGTGGTAAGCTGGGAGAGGTGGGCTACAGGGATGGTGAAAGTCCTGGAGTCTGTGCCCTTTGATTACCGTTTGAAGGAGCCAAGACTTGGAGGAATGTGATCTCTAACTTCATAGTGAAACTAGATGTAGCATCATGGAATGCTAAATTTATTTCCGGAAAAGGACATTATGGGCCATTCCTCATTTAAAATAGCAATGAGGATACTGAGTTTCATAGAGGGAAAGTGATTTGCCCGAGGTTGAAAAGGTCAGTAGCGACAAAGCCAAGATGGAAATCTAGGACTTGGGACCCTCAGTCCTGAACCCTTTTCATTATACCCCACTCACTGCTTTTCTCTAGAGCTAAATCAGAAGCAATGGGTAGAAGTGACCAGCAGGGAAACTGAGGCCTGATATGAAGTAAAACTTGTTAATAATTACATCTATGCAGAAAGTAGGAGAAGAGGATGACTCTGGATATGGGAGGTTTTCTCTTTTACTCGAGCAGAAGCTGGATGGTTGCTTGTCAGGGGTTTAGGGAATCTCTCGATCCCTTATCCTCTGCCTAGGTGTGTGTCATTTGGCTTATTTATTGTCCTGGTTCATTTACATTGCCACGGTGGTCACTGCATGATCAATGGTGACCCTGAGTGACCGCAGACCATGCTATCTCTCTACAGATGATTTTCCAAAGCCCCAGATCATCACTCAGCCGGAGACGACCATGGCGGTGGCAGGCAAGGACATTCGCTTCACGTGCTCGGCTGCCAGCAGCAGCAGCTCACCGATGACATTTGCCTGGAAGAAGGACAACGAGGTCCTCCCCAACGCTGACATTGAGAACTTTGCCCACGTCCGGGCCCAGGGAGGGGAGGTCATGGAGTACACCACCATCCTGCATCTCCGCCAGGTCGCCTTTCGCCATGAGGGACGGTACCAATGTGTGATCACCAACCACTTTGGCTCCACCTATTCTCAGAAGGCCCGACTCACAGTGAATGGTGAGGAGATAGGGCTTCTGATTCTGCCTTCACACTCCCCCCACCTCTTGGGGCCTCAGGGAAGGGAGAGGGTCAGGCATATGGAGGGCCAGGAAAGTTGGCTTTGGGGTCGGAGGACCCGGGTTCAAATCTTGTTTCTGCCACTTATTACCACATGTGCTAGGATTAGTTACATAATGTCTGGCTCTCCACGTCCCCATCTGTAAACTGGGATGAGACTAGATGGCACCTGGTGATCCCTTTCGGGTCTAAATCTGTGAGCCTGTGACTTTACTGAACATTGAAGAATTCCTTGATGGAAAGCACTCCATGCCATCACGGGAGCCACCTAGTTCTAATGAAAAATGATAAGCTGATGATGTGAGGCAATCTTAAATGTATTTTTTTTTTTTTGGTGATGCAATTGGGGTAAAGTGACTTGCCCAGAGTCACACAGCTAGCTAGTAAGTGTCTGAGGCTGGATTTGAACTCAGGTCCTCCTGACTCCAGGGCTAGTGCTCTATCCACTGCGCCACCTAGCTGCCCCTATGTGAGGTAATCTTCAGGATTTGTAGGAACAAGTTTTGCCTCGATCCCTCTTGGAGATAGCCTTCCCCTTAAGCAGCATCTTTCTCTTCTCATCTCTCTCATACTTGAGAGACACTAAGCAGACACCCATGTAACAGGAGGGCTGAGTTATCTACACTAACTTCCCTTTTCCTTGGAACCCTGGTCCAGAGATAGAAGCACCATCTGCCACACCAGTTAGGTAACTCAAGCATTTGATGAAGCCTCTCATGATATTCTTCTGAGGAAAGAGCCATGGCATCAGTTGTCACCTCTAGGGCCTGGCACATAGTATTACTGGAACTTCAATGTTTACTGAATGAATTGAAATCGAAGAGTCACACAGACCCAGTGAGGAGTCCCCCTCCCCAGGGATCTGCTTGGAGCATGTTTATCGATGTCTTGGGTGAATGTTCGGACAGCAGTGGTGGGAATGTAGGTGACATCTTTCTTGGATGATAGGATTCAGAAAGCTCTGGATAGGCCATGCATGACATAAGGATGAATAGGAGATGAATTGAATTAGTGGTCAAAGCTGTCTTGTACTTGCAGACAAAAAATCCTTCACATGCTCAGTATGGGAGGCATGGCTATATGATAGTTAAAATAATTTTAAAATATTTTATTTATATGTTGGGAGTCAAGAAGGGAGGGGGTGGTGGGGCTATGAGCCCATGATTTCATGGTATGATACAGCCCCTTCTGCAGTACCATGCAGGGCTCCAGGGAGCACACTTTACTAAATGTACTGATAACCTGATGAGAAGTACTGACTTAGTTTTAAAATATAATATCCATGTTTTCTTGTATTGTTATTGATTTTGCTAAATATTTTTCCAGTTACTCCCTAATATGAACTGCCCTTCCGTTTGACACCTCTAATCTAGTAGAACCCTCATTTTACAGATGAGGAGATTGGGGTCAAAGAGGTTGTGACTCACCTATTGTCATGTAAGTAATTAGTAGCACAGATGGGGTGTCTTTGAGATCTTCCAGTTTCAAATCACTTAACCTCTACCTGCCTCATTTTCCCCATCTGTGAAATGAGGATGTATAATAGCAAACACTTCCCAGGGCTGTTGTGAGGATCAAATAAATGAGAAAATATTTGTAAAGCACTTTGCCCAATGTCTTGCATATGTATAGTAAGCACTTAATAAATGTTTCTTTTCCCCTACTGAATAGTCCTGGAGGGATGCTGAGCAAAGAAGTGACCTGAACTTGGTTTTGGGGCAAATATGAAGGACTGAGGGTGGGGAGGAAACATGGCACACAGTGGGGATGGCATCTCCAAGAGGGGCCCTTGTGTTTTCCAGCCCTGGGCCAGGCAGCATTGTAGCCCACAGCAGGGGAAGGGGGGGCGGGCAGCTAGGTGGTCTCACTGGTAGAGTATTTTGAAGATTAGGCAGAGAAGCTTAGATTACACAGTTAGGAGGCATTGTAGGACCTTTTTTTTTTTTTTTAAATGTTAACAGTGTGATGCAAATGTTTGTTCTAAAAGGATTTTTCTGGAGCTTTGGTAACATCTCTGGCCTGACCAAAGCGTGTGTGTCTGCTTTGCAGTGTTGCCCTCGTTCACTAAAATGCCTCATGACATTGCCATCCGGACGGGCACCACCGCGCGCCTGGAATGTGCTGCCAATGGACACCCCAACCCCCAGATCGCCTGGCAGAAGGACGGCGGCACCGACTTCCCAGCTGCCCGGGAGCGTCGCATGCTTGTCATGCCAGACGATGTTGTCTTTTTCATCACTGATGTTAAGATTGATGATGCGGGAGTTTATAGCTGCACAGCCCAGAATTCGGCAGGCTCCGTGTCGGCCAACGCCACCCTCACAGTTTTAGGCAAGGCTCTACACATATGTGTGTGTATGTCCGGGGAGAGAGGAAGACAGGGAGAATCGGATTGTACCTTGTGTGTAAGGAGCACTGGCTCTGTAGTCACATGTCCTGGGTTCTCGGATCCCTTCAGGCTCTCACCACTTGGTGAATCAGCTACCCTGCCCGTTTCCTCTTCTATAAAACAAGAAGGCTGTATTTGTTGGCTTTTGTGGTATCTTGCAGCCCTAGAGCTATGGTCCTGTAAATGTTAATATCCATGAATTAGGACGAATAAATTAGTTATGACTTTAAGTGCCCTAGGTGACCAGGGTCTAACTAATTTGTAAAATCTCTGTTGTTTCAGAAACTCCATCCTTAATGATTCCTTTAGAAGACCGTGTGGCAGCTGTTGGAGAAACCGTGGCTCTTCAGTGCAAAGCGCGCGGAAGCCCCCCACCCCGAATCACGTGGCTGAAGGGCGATCAGCCCGTGAACATCACGGACCGCCACCACTTCACTCCTGGAAACCAGCTGCTGATCATCCAGAGTGTGGTGCCGGAGGATGCCGACAGGTACACGTGTGCCATGTCCAACACCTTAGGGACAGAACGAGCCCACAGCCAGGTGAGCGTCCTACCTACGCCGGGCTGCAGGAAAGATGGAACCACCGTGGGCATTTTCACTATCGCAGTGGTGTGCAGCATTGTGCTGACTTCACTCGTCTGGGTCTGCATCATCTACCAAACCAGGAAAAAGAGCGAGGAATATAGCGTAACCAATACAGGTCAGTTTCCTTGGTCCTGGGGCTGAACTAACTTACTGTAATAAGGCTATCTACAGAGGGCTGGAAGGTTCATAGACAGCTTTTCTTACAACCCTGTTTTTAGGCTGGATGAGTTATTATTCCCATTTTGCAAATGCAAGAATTTGAGGCTTAGAAAGGTCAGCTGACTTGTACTCAAGGCCAGAACATCAACATGTATCAGTTGAAGCACCTCTGTGCCAGGCACTGTGCTAAGTGCTGGATAGTAGGTGACAAAAACTTAAAGTTAAACTCAGGGCTTTGAACTCCCGAGACTACTTGTGTCCTCTTGTTAAGTCTGTATTTTTTTTTTTTAACTCTGTTCTGGATTTTCTTTCACTGTGTGACTTCTTACAGTGAGAGCTCCTTTTCAACCAAGTGGCTGCCTTAAATCCCACCCTGTCCTTGCAGCCTCTGCTTCTGCCATGGGTTGGGAAATGAGATAACTCAAGCTTGTTAAAATTGTTTGAAGTAAGACTAAGCAAGGACAGGTGGGCTTTTAGAATCCAATGCTTAACATTAGTACGTGAACTTGGCCTCCAGCCCTTTTCTGCCCCTTTCCTCTTTGTTAGCCGTCATAACAGAGTCAACTATAGGAGTTGTTTACAGTAGTCACTGGGAGTTCTAGTGTGTAATTTTCTGTTCTCCTTCCAGATGAAACCATTGTACCGCCTGATGTCCCAAGTTACCTGTCTTCTCAGGGGACGCTCTCAGAGAGACAAGAAGCAGTGGTCAGGACCGAGGGGGGCCATCAGGGAAATGGACACATAGAAAGTAATGGTATGGCCTCTTGTCTCTGCCCCTGTCTTCCTGGGTTGTGTGGCTCTTTAGGGGTGCTGTGGCTGTCCAAGTTCTTTGAAGGGGAGAATGGCCCCATATTTAGGTAATACACCATATTGTATCAGTGATTTCCAAGTAGCAGCAGCAATGACTTCTGTCTTATAAAACTTGACCTTGGGAGAGCCAGACATATGTGGTTTGATCAGCACCTTTTATCTCAAAGGAGTTTCCTTGGTACTAGAGGCCAGCTGGGCTGTAAGCTTTCTGACTGGCTTGGCAGTTTGACTTCCACACATAACACTGCTTTGGTGGGCAGATGCAACAAGCACTTATTAAATGCCTACTGTATACCAGACAAATCCAAAGTGAAGACAATTGCTGCTATCAAGGAGGTTACATTTTTGATACATGCTATGTAAGAATTTGGAAGTGGGGGACGCTAACCACCGGAGAAGTCAGGATTTTACACAAGGTCATACTTGAATATAGCCATCTAGGGGCTCCAGGAGATGGAGGTGGGGATGGAGGGCACTCTAGGCATGGGGGATATTGTATCCAAAGGCACAGAGGTAGGAGACAGTATCTTGGAAGAGCCTGTAGGCCTCTTTGGCTGAAACCATTTCATGTATGCAGGGCATGGTGTGTAATTTCTGGACCAGCATTTAAGTCAGACACTTGCCTGCACTGGTGTACTGAGGATGGTAGTGTCTGAAAATAACTCTCTGAGCAGAGAATGGAGAGTTGGGAAAAGTTGTTAGAGAAAGGTCAGGAATAAAGTGACTTTCCCAGAGTCACACAGCCAGTTAAATTCAGAACCCAGATCTCTTGATTCTACTATTTATTCCCTCAATTCTAATCGCTGAGAACTGTCTCCTTAATACAGATGGATTCATTTCCTTTTTTTGTCATCTTCATTCCTTCACTTTGAGTTGCCTTCCCCCATACAGAGAACCATCCCTTTACCAAAGGTTAAAAAAGGGAACTAGTTAACCATCCAATAGTTTGTTCAATATTCCACACCCATAGTTCCCCTTTCCATTTTCTTTCATTCATTTTCAAAAACCACCAGGACCTGAATACTTGTTTTCCATGACCTTCTGCACTTAATAGTAAAAACAGTGAAAATGGTTTTCGTAACTTAAATCTTCCATGTTTACTTTTCTTTACCCTCAAACCGCCCACTCTAAAGTCTTTCTTATTTATTTTTTATTCTCCATTTGCAGTAATCATACCTGTTTGGATGTCTCATTAAACTCTTAAAATTGAAGCCTTTGATGAAGCATATAAAGAATTGTGCCATTGATATTATTGGTTTTTGTACTGCAGGTATTTGTCAGAGAGATGCAGGACTGAATCCAGATGTTGACGTTCATGGGCCTGCTTACAGGCAGCCAAAACTATGTATTGGACATAATAAAGAAGTATGGAAAGTGGCTGATGGAGTATTTAGTCCAGATAAAACAGGTAGAAGATAACATTTCTAATAGAGAAATGATGTAGGTCTCTATATGCCATAAATAGGAAGGTGAGAGGCAACAGTGGGATAGTGGAATGCTTCCCTCATTAGATTGTAGGCTCCTTGAAGGTAGTCTGTCCTTTCCTTCTTTTTGTGTCCCCAGCGCTTAGCCACTGTGCCTGGCACAGAATAGGCACTTGATGCATGCTGGTTATATTGTATTGTCCTGCCTTTGACACACATGCCGCTGGGCAAGTCGCTTAACCCTGTCAGTCCTCCATTTAGTTCCTTAGCTTACTTGCTAGAATATATATATTGGCTATAGTCATTGACATTGGTGGAGAGAGTTCGTACATCCAGAGAAGGAGGGGAGTTCCTTAATGAAACTGCAAATTCTTTGCCGATATTTTTTTAAAGTAGCACACTAAGTGCATTCTGCTTTTGTGACCGTCTCTGATTCTATAGCACTGTACCCAAATGACTGGAATAATGGTTCTAAGAAAAGCAGGATAGTGTAGTGGGTAGCTAGCCAACCTTGAGGCCAAGAAAACCTGAATTCAAGTCTCACCTCTGACTTGCTGACTCTATGACCCAGGGCAAATCCTTCAACCTCTTGGTGCCCCAAACAAGACTCTCCAAGACTCTACACTTGCATTTAGTAGAGGGAGTTGTCTCATCCAGGAGTTGCTTTACTCATGAAACCTCCCATCTAGTCTGTGTCCTGATCTCTCATGTAAGGCACAAGGGTCCAAATTCAAGATTTTTTCGACATGCCTGACTTCTGTATGTTTTTCGTTATGGTTTTAGCACCCAAACTTCCTTAACATGGATGAGAAATCTGTAGTTACTACAAACTGAATCCTTATCTCACACAGGATGACCACGGGGGGTGGGTTTAGAAACAAGCCACTCTTTTTCTTGATCTCTGTAGACGCCAATGGATTTGTTTCCCACCATTTTAGATTGCGTTTATGGGGTAAATTTCAAGGCAGTGCCAAATGGTTTCTTAACAAAGATGTTTAAAAAAATAACTTTCCCCTGTGGCAACTTGACATTTTTCTCTCTTCTTCTTAGGATATGGCACACCAGCCGTATGCAGTGACTTCAGTGAAAATGTCACCAGTTATTCCAAGGACAAAGACTCCTATCCTCTGCCTAATACACACCCAAGTCCACGGAGTAGCCAAGAGCCCAGTAAGAGTGAACAAGAACATCCCCTGCTGCATCAGGCAGTCCCGCCCCAGAGCAATGGCGCTCTTGCTGGCCCACACCCAGAGGACAGTGGAAACTCTCTCTACCCCAGTAATCATGATAGGATGTCAGTATCCAGTGTCCAAAAGCTATCGCCTCTTGACCATAATGGTAGGCATTTTGCTTTTTCTCTCATATCCACTGGTCTCCTTGAAGAAGGGGTTGATCATATTCCATTCCCTGGAAATTATGATGATTTGCCCAGTATTAGGGGGTGCTCTCACAGCTGGGATGGGAACACAACGTATGATGCGATACCTTTGTTTTCTCCATAGGAGGCTCTTTAAACGATTTAGGAAAATCTTCCGAGTCTGAGTCTGTTGTCTTGCACCCTTTGTCTTTGGGGAAGAGAGGGGTGGCACTTGCGGGAGTTTCCAATGCCTCCTCCAACTTCCCAGAACTCACTGGCAATGAGGCCCAGGCCAAGCCTGCTCTTCCCAATGGACACTTGCCCAAGCCCCGTGACTCTAGTCACGAGCCTGCAGCACTGCAAGGAAGCTTCCGTGTACAGAGAAATGTGCCATTACTTTTTGTACCAAATATCTAGGTCATGGCTACCTCAGCTCATGAACCCTCATCAGTCTTGCACAAGAAAGAGAGGCCTGAGACATGCATCCCTGAATTTGTACAGAACTGAAAACTGCGGTGCAGAGCGTCAGAAGCTTCCAAGTAGATTTTGCGTCTGAAGCACACACATGCAAAAGACTATTATGTACAAAAGGAAGACAAAGTATTTGATACAACTGTACATAAGAGTTTTCATATATATTATATATATAAATATATCTTTTACAGAGGCTATTTTAATCTTTAGTGCATGATGGTTAAAGGAGTGAAATCTTACAGTTTGGGCAATACTGTTTTCCATACCAGGTTGCTGTTAAATTTTTTTTGGGAAAAATAATCCTGGTGCCTTAATGCATGAATGAAACTTGCATCAATGAAAACCACATTTGTTTCAAAGTATTGGTTGGATTGTTGAGCGCCAACCTCCCCTACCTTGTATTGCACATCAGAGGGTCAAATGGAAAGGACACCACTTGAGTAAAATGAGCAGGGGGGAGCTGCCCTGTGACTCACTACAGAAGGGTGAATTCACTCCATTCAGAAATGGCATTTTTCTTTTTGTAGAGGCCATTTTATATGTGTTTCTCAGTGCTGTAGCCCATCTGAAAAGCCACCTTATACATGGATGGATAAACATGGCACAGGGTATACAGTAAAGAAGGGAATGACTAGGGCCAGCGGTTCATATGTTTTCCCTGTGATACACACCCTAAATGACTGAGCCCACCAGGGAACTGTCCCTGCCTTTCATTGTGATCATCATGATGTCAAGTTGCCACAGGGGAAAGTTATTTTTTTAAACATCCTTGTTAAGAAACCATTTGACACTGCCTTGAAATTTACCCCATAAATGCAACCTAAAATGGTGGGGAACAAATCCATTGGCGTCTACAGAGATCAAGAATTGTGCTTGGCAAGTAGCTCCTTGTGTAAGTGGGCTGTTTGGTCTCCAAGTTCACCGTAAATAAAACAAATGTGGTGGAATAGATCAGTATCTTATGATCTCGATATGAATCTATTTTTATTTATATAAAAGCTGCTTTGGTTGGTGTTGGTACCTGTGGACGATTTTTCACTATTTTAATTTTAGTTTTGCTAATATAAGATCGGGCAGCTAGGTGGCACAGTGGATAGAGTACCTGGCCTTAAGTCAGGAAGACTACTCTTCCTGAGTTCAAATCCGGCCTCAGACACTTGCTAGCTGTGTGACCTTGGGCAAGTCACTTTACCCTGTTTGCCTCAGTTTCCTCATCTGTAAAATGAGCTGGAGAAGGAAGTGGCAAACCACTCCAGTATCTCTGCCAAGAAAACTCCAAATGGGGTTACGAAGAGTCAGACATGACCGAAAAGACTGAACAACAACAATACATGACTGCAAAATATTGGCCCTGGTGAAAAACATTTGGGGGGAGGGGGAGACAGGAAGGAAGGAAGGAGAATTCATTTCTCCCTAAGGGTCTTCACAGAAGGACTCAGTTGCTTACTAGTGAGTGCACACCCATGTGTCTGCACGGCCTTAGTTGGACCAACACCAGGCCAGGGTGCGGGCTGTAACTTTGCCAGCTACCTGTCTACTGGCTTCTAGGTTCTCTTTGCACTTTTGAGACAGGTGGCTCCCTATGTTGTGAGTGCCAACATGTAACACATTGAATTTCACCAAACCTCCACTAACAGTTAAGAACCCTGGAATAAATGTAGGTCAAAGCAGGGCATCCGTGTTCTGGGTATAACACTTTGCATTGTGCTTTTGAATGCCTGATCACATGTGTCACGTTAAGAATCTTTTCTTTTTTATTTTGGGACAGTTCACTGTCTCCTGTTACTTCCACAAAATATGTGAATTTGCTGCTTCTGAGAGGCAATGTGAAAGAGGAAGTATGGCTTTTGTGTACAAAGTTATTTATTTATAGAAAATTTGGTACAATGTTGTACATTGAAAAAACATGTAAAATATTGACGTGTCTAACAAATGGCATTGAAGTGTCTTTTAATAAAGGTTCATTTATAAATATTAATTTTTCTGGGTTGATTGGAACTTTTCTTCAAGGGACGGGGTGGAAAGGTGGAGCGCAGATAAGGACTTTTCTTTCTCTTCGTAGAGAAAGCAACGTTTCCGTGCAGTAGTGATGGAGCAGAGATCATCTCAGATAGTTCAGATTTTACCTGTAGCTACAGTAGCCATCAGATAGGAGTGAGACGTACCAAACCTAACTCAGGAGCCTTTTGCACTCAGAAACCTAGTCCTCTGTTCTCAGGACTGACCCAAGTGCGTTTTCAGTTTCTATTCAGACAGCCTGTTTCACAGTATTTGCTCTGCAGCACCATGAGATTTTTCTGACTTGGTATTTCTAGTCCTTAATTTTAAAAAGTCTTCAATGACTTGAAAAGTCGCGAGCAGGTGCAGACGCCTCGACTGACCCAATGCTTCCTGAACTCCAGTTGAGCAGAGTTCTTCTCTACCCCCCAAAGTCAGAGCTGGGCCCGTATCCCAAAAGCTGGCTGGACGCTCAACTTGTAGTTGAGGGAAGCAACTGTGTGTTTATAAGTAAATCTGAAGGTAATTAAAGCTACAGGCCTGATTGCCTAGTGAGAAGGCCTGCTGTGCACCTGTGGGTCTAAACAAAGCTATAAACTTTCACAATATGAATCAAACCCCAAACAAATGGACCTCTTGGCTTCAGCATTCCTGAGCGAAGCTGTGTCCGGAGACTCTCAGGTGGCAGGAAATGAAAGATCTTGTGGGCCGTGATCGTGTTCATTAGCAGTGGGGGTGGGGGATGGGGCTGAGGATCCCTTTCAAAAGGCTTTTGGGGACATAATTAACTTCTCTTCTTGGCAGAGAGATTTCTGTGACTCCATTCAGCTCAGCCTACTCCATGGACAGGACACTTTGAATGTAATTTTTTATCAAAACTGGATTTCCAGATCATATAAAACGTCTGGTTGCTACAAGGGTTCAACTGTTGCTCCCTACAAAGGACGGGAGGTGTAGTGGGGAATGGGGACATGATGGACACCAGGTCTTCTTACTTGAAAGAAGTGCCTATCAGTTGGCCTTTGGATGTAATTCATGGGCTTGCTTTGCCAAGTTAAAACAGCAAACTGCGTGTCTGGTCGTAAGCACCAAGAAAGATGAAACCTCCCAAGCTGATTGCTGCCATTCGAGGGAAAACACCTGCAAATAATCTGAAAAATTGGAGGGAAGGACACGAAAAGAGTAAGTTTCATTTGTGAGATAGAGGACACTCAGCTCTCAAGCACATCACCCACTAGACTTCCTTAATCTCCAAGCCCCACTCCAAGCAGTGATGTTAAGAGGCAGAAGCCTCCACCCATCCCCAGGGTTTGGAGGACACTGGGAATTACCTTCGGCTGTATCATGAGCTGGGCCTGGTGAAGTTTCAGCCCAGGTGTTTGTTGCTGGCTAATGTGGTTCAATACAAACTGCTGACTGAGGAGCCTGGCCTGAAGGGCTGGTGGTGCTCATTTCTCATAAAAGCCCATTTTCAGACTAGGGCTGTCAGTCCAGCTCCCCACGGCAGCCCCGCATCAGGCTGAAGGTGTGTGGCCCGAGCGAGGCCAGCTCCAGGCTGGGACCCTGCACGGTCAGGATTGGAGGCACTGACATCTTTTTCTGGCTGCATTTTGCCACTGCTTTGATGACGAAGTGAGATGATTTTCTTTGATGCAGTACAACACAGTATCTCCTCCCCACCTCCCAAGCCCACCTGAGAATTGGGTCTCCAGTCAAACCGTCCATGTTCTTTCTTAATCACTTACTCAACCTTGAAAATGTGTGCATTCCACGCCCACCAGAAGAACAGCCCAACCCTGTTCTGCAAGTCAGCTCGCTTCTTAGGGAATGATGCACGTGGCCCAGGCCGGGCCTTCCGAAAGGGTCTAGAGTCAGTGTCATCTCTAAAAATGACTGTAGACAGCGTTTGATGGTGTATCACCACATCTGATCCTATTTCAAAACCCCGAGCGAAGGGGAGATTGCTAAGAACCAAAATAATCGTTTAAACAGGAAGATTTTGCTTTCCTTCCAAGAAAATGGCCTGGGGCTCTGGGCCAGCACCCTTTCCTCAGCACCTCCTGTTTTTGCCCTGGACATGGAAGGCACAACTCCTCCAGGTTGTCACAGGACTCCCCTTCTCCCAGCCCTCCCATTCCCAACTAAATTCTTCTGAGACATGGTGCCTTTTGCTTAAAAAATATGTAGCACTCTGGGTGATTCCCCAGGTAAGTTTAGGCCTAGGGGGCCAAATATAAATACCTGGCAATGAGTATAGAAACCAAAGGGGAAAAGGTAGAACCTGGTAAGTGGAATGATTCTATGGAGGTGATCTCTGTGGTCCAAGAGATGCCTAAAGAATGGTAGGAGAACCAATAGAGAGTGGCGCCAGGGAAGCCATGGAGGATGAGGTTCAAGGAGCTGGCCATCCCCAGGGTTAGATGCTATCAGGAGGAAAGGAGGAGTGCAGCCTGAGCTGTCCCTGAACCAGGCAGCAGAGCAATAGTGACCTTAATCTAGAGGGCAGCTGCAGCCCAAACACTGGGAGTCAGGTGAAACCAGATGGTAGCAGCAGGTGCTGCTCACTTGTCTGGATTCCAATGGAAGATTCTCGGCTCTGAAATGAGCTGCTTAGGCTGTTGGTTTCCAAAGGGACTGCCAGGCTCCAGTTCTCCCCCACCTCTCCTGCGGCCTGTGGGTGGGTCCATGGGGAGGCTGGCAACCTCCAACACTCCTCTGGGCCAACCTCTGAGTGCCCTCATTTGGGTTTGGTGGTAATGATCTCTGCTGCTCTGGGCACCACAGGCAGGCCGACAGATGGAAACATTTTATGGCTTCACTAGATGACAATTGGGTCTATTATCATAATTATAGCTTTAAAGTTGGGATAATTTGTACAAGGCATGTCCCAACCCAACTCTCCAAGGAGGCCAAAACTTGTTGCGGAGGAGGCACAGTGGTGCTACCGAAGTTTTGTGGAACTGCCCAGGGCAGGCCTGTGGCTTCCCCTGCATCCACCTGCAGGGCGGCATCCCGGGATGGAGGATGGTGGCATTTCTCACTGGTAAGGCCTTCACGCTGAGACACCTCCCACCTCCTCAGTCAGTATCTCTTACAGACATGGTTGTTTGCATGCTGTCTCCCCCCTCTACTGGCCCTCTCTGAAACATCTCTTCATGACGGGAGACAGGAGGAAGAAGCCTGAGGAGTTGGGCCTCCTGTCTGGAAATCCTCCGACCTTCTTTCTGAATATTCAGAATCTGTTCGGTCCAGCACTAGATTTGGAGTCTTCACTTTTCCATTAGGTTACAAGCTAGTCCAGGCTAGGAATCATGACTTCTGTGTCTCCTGGGGCCATCCACAGTGCCTAGAACAGTGCCAGGTATGTGAAAGGTACTGACACACAGTACCAACAAAAGAGTAGGTATCTGAATAACTGAATAACGTGTGAATAACTGACAAAACTGCTCCAGGTGGTTTGTGCATGCGTGTGCTCCTGCACTCACACATGTGTGCACCATGATGAGGCTTTTTCCTTCCAAGTCATTAAGTAATAGCTTATGAGAGGGCTCCCAGCTGATCTCACAGTCCTGGTTGTGGCCTTTAAAGTTCTCACTTCAAGTCCACAAGGCCCTTTCAATTCATTATCTCATCTGATTCCCATAGCCTGGTGAGGCAGATAATCACCATTATCATCATCCCCACTTTTGAGATGAGGAAATTGAGACCAATCTCAGAGATCTTCCAAGACTGGAAGAGATAAGATTGGAACCCTGACCAATCAGCTTTGCCACACTGCCTCTCAATAAGAAAGCAACCACAAAATCCTTGCTTCTAAGGACAAAATAAAAAGTCTGAGGATGAAGACGAGCAGCTCCCATGTTCCTGATACTTTCAGGTTTGCAAAATGCTATGCAGACTTTAATACTGGATCATACATCTGGAGCTAGAAGGACCTGTAACTATCGGTTATCCCAACTCTCTCATTTTACACGAGGCAACCGAGGCCCAGAGAGGCTTAAGTTGGTGAGTCCAGGGTCACAGAGCTATTAATGGGCAGTCTTGGGGTTTTCATGCAGGCCCTCTGATTCCAAATCCAGGCCTCATTCCACTAGTCTCTATGAGTGTGCCAAGCATCATTTCTTCCCTCCTTGGCTTTCAGTGAAAGGTGGATGGAAATCTCTGCCCACTCCTGTGAACAGGAAGAAATGGCTGTCCACCTGGAGTGCTGGGGGTGTCATTCTCACTTTGGAGATGGATGTATCGTGACGATGCCCATTATGAATATATTCTGAAATTGAAGATTGGTAACAGGAGTCACCAAGCACTTCACATGGAGGCCATCTCAAAGGTCTCTCTCCCAGAGCAGCCTGAAACATTATCTGGCTTGGATTAACTGAATTACAATCGGAAACATAGCTTAGCAAATTGGTTCACCAAAGACAGAAAAGACCTGAGAACTCCTCGAGGCCACCCTCTGCCCCCAATTGGACAGACAAGGACACCGAGGCCCAAGGTTCTAACAGCAAGTTTGAGGCTAAGCTGTATGCTGAAGGCCACCTGAATCCCACTGCCACAGGGCAGCAGGCTACAAGGCACTTTTTCCCAACCATGATTTCCTTCCCTAACATCTGTTTAGCTTTACTATTCTCATATTCTGTTGTCTCAAGATATTTTCACAGTATGTTTTCTGCTGTTGATTGTAGCCAAGTCATTTGTCCTCCTTCTACCCGGTGGGTGAGGAAGAGACCAAGAGGTCATGCTTCTGGGTCTGGATTTACGAGAAGATTGGGGAGCAAACTAAGAAGGGGAGGACGTGCTGTCAGGACTCCTCTCTGCTTGGCTCCAACTGTGAGCAAGTCTGTACACAGGACTTGAGAGGAATACTTCCTGCTGACCAGACTCGGACCCAAAGGGCAGCCACCTGGCGAGGAGGGAGCCACAAGCGTCCTGGCTATCAGTCCTGCTGATTTGCAAGGTTGATATACAAACTGCAAACATGGAAATGAGCCACTTATGAGGCTTTTCTGTTGGAAAGGGCTTATTCTTTCCATACTCAACTTGCCATATCTGGCTATCCCTATTTATAGCAGCTCTGGTCATACACTGAGAGTGAAAAGAGTCCTCTTCAGCTGACCTTCCAGCTGATGAGGGCCTTCTTCCTCTCCCTCACTGTGCTGGGATGACCACATCGTGCCCACGTGTCACCGCCTCCTCTAAGACTCAGAGAGCAGCCCAGCTTGGCTGATGTGAAGGACTTGGCAGCTCAGTCTTCTTGGAAAACACGGATTCAATAAGCAGGAAGACTGCTTGGAGAGTTAGAATTTGACTATCGACATGCAGAGTTTTATCACACAAACAAACGGGGCAATAAAATTCATCTATTTATGATTGGTTATAATCCAAAGACCTACAGAGACACGGACCTACGTGTGTATTCAGATAATGTGCTGCATGGTCCAGTTTAATTCAGCAAACATTCATTAAGCATGTTCTGTACGCAGAGTGGTGACTTAGGGTCTGGGGAAGACTCAAAGTTCATTTAAGACAAAGTCCTTGCCCTTAAGAAGTTAGAGTCAGTCCAATAAGTGTTTATTAAACACTTCTATATGACAGGCACCATGCTAAGCCTTGGGAATAAGAAGAAAGGCAAAGATAGTCCTTGCCCTCGAGGAGCTCACAATTACAAAAACAACCAGGAAATCAAACATGTGCAAACAAGCTATAAATAGGAAACAAGGAGAATTAAGAGAGATTGGGAAAGACTCCTTTGGAAGGTAAGACTTTAGCTAGGACTTAAAGGAAGCCAGGGAGGTCAGCAGTCCGAGCAGAGGAGGGAGAGCATTCCAGGCACGGGGGATGGACAGCCAGGGAGAATGTTTGGAGCCAAGGGGGGGGGGGGGGGGGTCTTGTCTGAGGAAGAGCAAGGAGGCCAGGGTCACTGGATCAAAGTCCAGTCTAGTAAGCAGTTATGACATACAGACAAATCACTATAATATAAAATAAAGGAGGAAAAATCCATTAAAAAGGTGAAATCATGAGGCTCTGTGAGGTCCAAAGAGGAAGGACAATTACTGATGAGACAGACCTGCAAAGGCTCTAAGGAAGAAGCGGCACCAGAGTTGGGCCAAAAAGAGGAAGAAGGGAGGAAGGCATTTCAGTTCTAGGCTCCTATGTGAGCAGCTGCATGGAGGTGGGAGAGGAGGGACATGCCTAAAAGGAAGTGAGTACCTCAACATGCTAGAGCAAAGAGTACCAGGAAGGGAACAGAAGAAATAAGACTGGAAAGGGAGGTGTTCAGAGGGCCTTAAACAGCCTAACTAAAAGCCCATCTGCTACAGGAAGCCTTTCTCAGCCCCTCCTACCTCCAGGGCCTTTCCTTTTTTAATTACTTCCCATTTATCCTCCATACGGCTAGCTTTATGTATATTTGCTTGTTGTCTCCTCCATTAGACTGTGAGCTCCTTGAGGGCAGATGCTGTCTTTTGCCTCTTTGTATATTCCTAGCATTTAGCACAGTGCCTGGCATGTAGTAGGTGCTGAATACATGTACAAGAGTTGGATCTCTACCAAAGTTACTGAGGATTTTTAGGCCAAGGTGTGGAACAATCAGCTCTACCCACACTGCAGGTTATGCTGGTCAAGGGACTGGAGAGCATAAGTAGAAAAATCTGCTAGGAGTCTGTTCTAACAGGCCAAATTGGTGAAAATGAAGGCAGGTGGTAGGAAAATGAAAAGGGAATTGAGAGAAAGTTAAGGATTTGTGACATGTCACAGAGATGGAGTCAACAAAACATGGTAAATACTTGGATATGAGAGGTGAGGGAAGAGGAAGAATGGCCAAAGAGAGTGCTCAGGTTTTCCAAATGGGGGAAATGGATAAATGGAGACGTCACAAGAAGGAGCAGATGTTTTGGCATCTAAAGTCAACGCTGAAAAGAGATTTAGAAGTCCCTTTATTTCACTTCAGTACACAGTGACTGAGCCCCTATAATTTATAAGACAACGTGCTCACAAAGACAAAAACAACACAGTCCCTACTTGGAGGTGAGCCCGTGTCCCATTTCATGAGCAAAAGAGGCACGGAGGAGTCAAATTCCAAGTAATTACAAGAGGCAGAACTATAGGCAATGGAGGGATCAGGGAAGCTTTCCCAGAGAAAGGGGCACCTGAACCAAGCCTTGAAGTAAGGTAAAGATCATTAAAAGTGGACCCAAGGAGGTGTTAGTGAGTGAGAATCCAGAGAAGCAAGAGAGGAACACCAAGCCTAGTTCTTGGGCTCAGGGAACCATTCGTAGCACAACTGGGCCATAATGCAGATTGGGTGAAAGAAAGTTACACAAAATAAAGTGAGAAAGACTGGAGCTAGATTGTGAAGGGCCTTCAACATCAGGCCAAAGAGTGTTTCTGACCAGGGAAGTGACACAACTAGGTGTGTGCCACAGGCAGATGGGTGAAGAGAGAAGAGACTGGAAGAGGAGGTGATTACATGAGAGTCGAGGTGAGAGGCGATGGGTGACAGTCATGTGAGTAAAGAAGAAGGGACTGACAGATGAAAGAGGCATTATGAGGGTAGAATCAACATAACTTGGCAAGGGGCTGGATCTTGTGGCTGAGGAAGAGACGGTGTTGAGGATCATTCTAAAGTTAAGAAGCAGGAAGCCTAGAAAGGTGATTGTGCTCTCCAGAGAGAGGGAAGAAGAAGGGAACAGAAAGGAGAAAAGAAGGTATAGGGACAGGGGGAAAAAAGAGAACAAACTAGCCCTAAGCATTACACACATCACAGGCCATAATCTAGGTAAGGCCAATATCAGTCTCACCTTTGCCAAGTAAACATAATCTACATGTGGGAAAGGATGAGAACGTTATCAGGGAGGGATGGGAAATTACAGCAGGCAGGAGGAAAGAATGTACGTTCGTTCAATGTTTACAACAGCCATATTCCCAGCAGGCATCCTTACCCAGAGATCCCTTGTGTCTTCCAGACCTCAAGCAGGGCAGACAGAACATTTCCACTGGCAGTGGCAGAACCCGCCTGTATGTCAAAAAACAAAAAAAGAGAGATTTAGAAGTCTCTTTATTTCACTTCAGTACACAGTGATTGAGTCCCTATAATGTGTAAGACATTCATTGCTTTAGAAATCTTCTTTACTACAGAGCTCATAACAATGAAGTCAAACACGTGATTAAGGAGAGTGCTTCGTCAAACAGCTGGCTGGTCCAAGATGTCACCATACTAGGTAGGTGAACGGGTGGGCGTGCACACACACCCCCCCCCCCACACACACGCGCGAGACACTGCCTGTGTAGCACAGGAAGTAACCAAAATGACCCTACCAGTTGGAAAATACTTCATAGGGAAATATTAAATAGGTAAGTAAACATCTTAAGGAAATCTCAGGATGTCTGGAGCAAGGAATTTTTTCAGAAAGGAAGAAACATTGTATTGAATAGGCTGAAATAAATTTCATTGACAAACACAACATACTCAGCTCATAAAAAGTAACTTGCTGACTTTAAACACTCATTTTTATTTAAGAATTTCAAAATACCGTACTTAATGGGAATGGCCCACAAGGAGAATATATTCATTTATAATGAATTACTTAAATTGAAAAAAAAAACTTTTAAAGGAATTTTTAATAGAATAAAGGGTTCAAAGGGTTCTTACACATGTTCTAACCGTAAGATCAAAGCTACCTTATTTTACAGATGAGGCAAGTGAGGCGGAGAAGGCTTAAAGAATTTCCCCAGATCACACAGCAGACCACGTCACCTCCCAGGTAGGGGGCTTCACTGGTTAAAAAGGCGCACACTAGTCTGCATTTCTCTTTCAATAGGCAAGAGACAATGATGATGGCACAGTTAGTCAACCAACAAGCATTTATTGAGTTTCTACTCTGTGCCAAACAAGGTGCTAGGCATTGGAAGCACAAAAATACACAAGAAAAGAAATATTCCTCACTCTGAAGGAGCTTGCAGGTTAGAGGGGAAGACGACACATACATGAATAATAAGTATTCATGGAATAAACACAAACAAGTACAAGGCAGTCAAGTAAGGTGGGCAGGCAGCAGGCAGGTGGGAGGATCAGGAAGGCTCCTGGTAGCGGTGCTTGGTTCTAATGCATAGATGATCTAGATAGAAAAGGTCACATCATAAACAGAACAGAGGAGTCCAGAAAACAATACCTTTTGGATCTATGGATAGGGAAAGAGTTCATGACAAAACTAATGAGAGAGAATCACACAGGATAAAATGGTTGATTACCTAAAAATGAAGAAAATTTGTGCAAACACATCTAATGTAGTAAAAATCAGAAGGGAAATGGATAACTGGAAAAAAATTTTAGCAGCAAGTTTCTCTGATAAATGTCTCATATCCAAGATGTGTAAGGAACAGATTCAAATTTACAAGACTAAACACCATTCTCTAAGAGATCAAAGGACGTGAACAGGAAGTTTTCAAAAGAAGAAATCCAAGTTATCGACCAGCATATGAGGAAATGCTCTAAATCGTTAATCGTCAGAGAAATGAAAATTAAAGGAACTGTGAAGTTCTACCTCAGACCTATCAGACTGACAAGATCACAAAGGAGGACAAGGACAAGAGGACAAATGTGCTAAGAGGCGCACTCTGGTGGAGCTGTGAATTGGTCTAGCCATTCTGGAAAGCCATTTGGAACTATGCCCCAAAAGTTACTTAACTGTGCTTGCTCTTTGACCCAGCTAGACCATTACTAGGCCTATACCCCCAAAAGATCAAAGAAATAGGAAAAATACCTCTTTGTATAAAAATGTCTATGGCACTTCTTTTTCTGGGAGTCAAAAATCAGAAACTTAAGAGGGGGTTCTCCTGGGGAATAGCTAAATAAATTATGGTATATGAATGTAATAGATTTCTGCCATAAGAAATGATGAAATGGACAGGTGCAGAAGAAAATGGGAAGACCATTATGAACTTCTGTGGGAGAAGTAAACAGAAATAGAACAATGAAAATATCATTATAGAAAAACAGCTTTGAAAGACTTTAGAACTCTTTATCAATATCGTGATAAAACATGATGAAACACATCATCTACCTCCTAACAGAGTTGATGAACTTCATGTGGAAAGAAAAATACATTTTGGGATTTACAATGTGGGAATTTGTTTTGCTGGATAATGGAGGGGTGTTCTTTTTTGGGGAGAATGGTAATGAGAGGGACAGATGAAATAAAAAAAAAAGGCGTACTTGAATTGTCTCTCGTAGGGGGTAAGGGTTTCCAAGCTGGGAAGCCAGGGGTGGGGTGCAGTATGCGAAGACTAGAGGAAGGCCAGTTTGTCTGGCTGTTATATCAGTACTCCAATGCCCTGCCTCCTGCTTCCAGCCAGAATTAGTCATTGATAATCACTACTATAGCAGATTTATCTTGTTCATTATTATTAATACTGTCATCATAAAAGTTCTCACACTGTCTATGCAGGTATCATTTCAAAATTATATCCTTCTTACCTTTGCCAACATAATTCTTGTCTTGGCCACGTCCAGAGGTGTGGTGACTACTGCTGCAAATCCACCTGAAAGGGACAAATAGTTTATTGATTACAATCCCTTCCTCTATCCCTCAACTCGTATAAAATACATATTTTTTTAATTTTTAAAATTTTTCTTTTTTTTTCCCAGCCAAAATAATTTGATTATCGAGGCTTCTGTCAGGGATCTTGATTACATGTAAACAACGATAGAGTACTGGACCAAAGTCAGAAGACCGGGGTTCAGCAGTCCATCTCTAAGACTCCTTCACCAGGTGACTTGGGCAGATCAGGGCCTCTCTGGCCCCAGTTTTCTCTTCTGTAAGATCAGGATACTTGGCCTGCTTCCCAGGCTATTGTGGGGCCCCAAAGTAATGTGTAAGGAAGTATTTGAAAAACTATAAGATACTAAACGGATATGTTAGGACAGTTTTCTGGAAATAGTGATTTCTTATTTGTAGACATGGGTTTGAATCTCATCTCAGACATTTAGTAGCTATGGAACAATAGGCAAATCACCCTCCCTAAGCCTCAGTTTCTTCATCTGTAAATTGGTGCTAAATTAAGTGCCCTAATTCACAGGGTTTTTGAGGATTAAATGAGATAAGACCTGTAAAGTGCTTTGCAAACAAAAATGCAACATAATATCAGCTATTATTAACAGTAAACATATTGTAAATTTTATTTTTAATGATGTTATTTTGGAAGCTACTATATCCTGTGCCTTTCAATTCATCATGATGTCTAGGTGTGATGCTTCTAAGTAGTCTAGAAACTTCTGGTTTCCATCTCTTTATCTTCAACTACATTTTATGGTGTACTTTTTGACATCTTCTGTACCTACTTTTACACAGAAATCGCCAAGTATTGTGGTATGAACTGATATCCTTTGGAAGATCTGATGCTGAGGCATGTAGTCCAGAGGAAAGAGCACTGTTCCTGAAGTCCAAGGGCCTGGTATGTTACCTTATGACCTGAGAGGACTGGACTCAGATGGCCTCTAAAGCCCCTTCCAGATCTAAATCTCTAGGATCCTGTTATTCTTGGAAGTTCTTTGACGAATTGTTTTTTTTTCATCTTCTAAACAAATGGTGGTACATGAGCTATAATTATACTCATGATGTTCTCTCTTCGAGGCAAGATAACCAGCCATCTTGTGAAAGGAGGTTTCTTACTGCCTTGGGGCATCCAATAAATTCACTTGTCACCATTCCCGGAACTGAGTGCCATCCTCTCCTTTAGCTGCAACCTTCTTAGGTCTCCTGGTTTCATTTAGAGAAAGAATGGTCAATTTTGATGTTCTTCATTTCCTACAATGGTGTGTGGCATCTGTTGTGAACAAAGACTTCATGTGAAGGGCTTTAGACGGTAGAAAACACTGCATGACTTGTAGCATCTTCTGATTTCCACTCCTCCATTCCACCAGAGTGGCAGCAGCAGGGGCCCCACACAGGCATGCAAGGCAACGTATGTGTGTATGTGTGTGTGTGTATTCATAATCTCTCTCTCTCTCTCTCTCTCTCTCTCTCTCTCTCTCTCTCTCCTCCCACCGTTAAAGACAAAATAATCTCAACTTCTTCTGGTGATTAGCTTTCAATATGCTTGACTGGAAGGGCAGCTAGGTGGTACAGTGGCTAAAGTGCAGGGTCTAGAATCAGGAAGACTCATTTTCTTGAGTTTAAATCTGACCTCAGACACTCACTAGCTGTGTGACTCTAGGCAAGTTATTACACCCTGTTTACCTCAGTTTCCTCATTTGTAAAATGAGCTGGAGAAGGAAACAGCAAACCACTCCAATGTTTTTGGCAAGAAAACAAAGGTCATAAAGAATCAGACACAACCGAAAAAAAACGACTGAACAACAAATGCTTGACTGGATAACACTATTGTTGGACTCCTGAAGTCCATCTGAAGTCCTTCTAGTTTGGTAAAATCATTACCCTCTGAGAACTCCAGGAATACACCCAAACCCTGATGACGCTTCTAAATAGAATTTTTGCAGGATGGGGTTGGGATCTGGACCTCAGAAAGGAAAAACCCTGGACCTTCCCACAGGGACAGGTCTCAGAGGCTATCTCCTTCATTGTGGCTACACCCAATCTCCCAATTCTCTGTTACCAGTAACCTAGCCTAGCCCTCCATTGTCTTACATCCCTATTAAGAAAAAGATGGCAACAAATCTCTCTAGGATTGAGAGATGATCTAGATAGAAAAGGTCACATCATAAACAGAACAGAAGAGCCCAGAAAACAGTAACTTTTGGATCTATGGATAGGGAAAGAGTTCATGACAAAACTAATGGCCCCTGGCCACTTCCCACCCTTAATCCTATCTAGGCTCTGTTCTCCCAACATGGGCCAGGTCCCTGGAGTTCTCTTTCCTCATAGACTACTTGGCCACTCCTAGACCCCTCTCATAGTCTTTCTGTATATAAGGTCCATCTTGTCTCCATTAAGATGCTCAGATTCTTTTAAAATCTAGCCAATAGCTCACTAATGTTTAGACTCCTTAAAAGTCTGCCCAATATGATGGACATTCTAATAAACCTTGTCTTTGGCTGAAAGAAGGCTAGGGTTGAATTCTTTCAGGCAGGACTCATGTGTTGTGATTTTGGGGTCCCAGCACCCCTAAACTCCTAAACCTCAACAGTTTTATAGGTTAAGTATTAGTTATAACAGTCTACAATCTATCAATCAATTAATTAATTAATTAGTGATGCCACACACCATTGCAGGAAATGAAGAACATCAAAATTGACCATTCTTTCTCTAAATGAAACCAGGAGACCTAAGAAGGTTGCAGCTAAAGGAGAGGATGGCACTCAGTTCCGGGAACGGTGACGAGTGAATTTATTGGATGCCCCAAGGCAGTAAGAAACCTCCTTTCACAAGATGGCTGGTTATCTTGCCTTGAAGAGAGAACATCATGAGTATAATCATAGCTCATGTACCACCATTTGTTTAGAAGATGAAAAAAATAACAATTCGTCAAAGAACTTCCCAGAATAACAGGATCCTAGAGATTTAGATCTGGAAGGGGCTTTAGAGGCCATCTGATGATATTATTATTAAAAGGAAAGGTTACATATTAACATTTTGGTTACCATTTTAAACAGGGAATTCTTAATAACTTAATGTAGAAATTATGAATCTCACTAGAATTTTCAAATCATACAGAAAACCCGTTTTCTACATTCTCTTACTAAAGCCAAATTTAATGTTATGAAAGTTACTTAAAAAGGCCAAGTTTGGAGAAGTGAGATGTTAACATATAACTTTGTCCCCCATTCATTCTCTCAGTTGTCACGCAAGCAGAGATGCTTTATTGCTCCACACACCAAATGTCTACATGTGGCCTGAGCAACCCAGGATGGGGAGCAAGGGGGTTCCTCTGACCCTTTCAGAGGGTCTACAAGGCTAAAACTATTTTCATAATAAGACTAAGATATTTTAATTTTGAACATGGTAAATACTATATAACTCACATAAACAAAAGCTTTCTGGAGTCCTTAATAATTTTTAAGTGTGCAAAGCAGACCTGAGATCAAAAAGTTTGAGAAGTACTGCCCTACAGAAAGCAGCATGCCTCCCTCCTCCCCCAAAGCTGGGATTTCCTGTCCATATAACAATTTTTCAAAGCAGTGAAGCAGGACATCCTGAAATCTCAATCCCAGAGAGGTTTGTTCCCATCTTTTTCTTAAGTACAGCCCCTGCTTTCAGCTCTCTCCTCTTGTTACCAATTCCAATTCTAAAGAACAAATAGAGAATTTGGAACTCAAAATTTAAAAAGAAAAGAACATTAAAAATAAATAAATAATAAAAGAATGAATAGCATCTTCATTCATCTTCTTTGCATGGACATTTAACAGGTGTTTAGGCCTGAAGTATCTTCTATTTAAATTGTTATTTGTTTATTCAAACAAGTTGGATATTCCACCTGCTTCTAGAATTTCAAAGTCCGAATGCTTAGGGCTCACTCTGTCTCTCAGATAACCAGGGAATCTAAGCTGGTGTTATCCATAGCAGTTTAGGGCAAAAACTTGAGAATGGCAAAAGTTTAGCACAAGAGTGGGGAACCCCTGTAGCAAAACCACGTTACAGTTTTACGTTTTTAATGTTAAGTTCAAACGAAGAGGCCTGTTATATCTTGTTTGTTTTATAGGTCAGTCTCAGAGGATAATACTTTACCTTCAATGTCTCTAAATCTCGAAAGATACTTTTAGATCTGTGGGTCAAACATCTCATATCGTAAGCGTGGTGAAGAAAGGGTGTATTGTGCAGTGGAGAGAATAGTTCATCTGCAATGATTTAAGCCAATTTAAATTTGGAAGCACACACATAGACAGGAAAAGTCTGAATTCTGATCCAAAGGCAGGTTTCACCACTGTCTTTATGACCATTTATGGGTAGTGGCTGAGGGCAGAGTGTATAAACATGTCAGACCTAAAAGGGGCTCTCCAAAGATGGCGACTCATTGTTCACTTCTCTAGCCTTTGTAATTCACACAGTGCTATGACAAACCTTCCTAGAACAGCAACTGTTGTTCATAATATGGAACATTTTCAGATGAAAATGAGCTTCAAAATGATAACCTGGTGCCAGGAGATCATTCTGTATCTCACTAGAGCAAGACTTCTCTCCTAATTGTACTGTTTGACTTTTACCCCAACAGATGGGCTGTCCAAGAAGGGCACTCATTTCATGTTTTTTCTTCTTTGGTATCTAACATCTACATAGATTTTAAGGAATTTGAAGGGCCCTGAGCCAATGATCCAGATGGTCACAGGCCCAAAGGCTCACAAGCCAGAGAAGACCTTCTAAATCTACTATCCTTTTATTGATGAGGAAATGGAAACTCAGAGAGAATGACTTGTCTAAGGTCATAAAGTTAGTTCCCTTCAGCTATTAAATAGAAAAACATGATTTGGAGATGTGTTAAAATCCACATATAGGCCAACAAATGTAGGGGAAAATAGTTAATATGCAAACCTGTGGTTTCATTGGTTCAGGCAACTCTGGGTGAGAAACCCCCACCACAAATACAGGTCAAAATCTTCTCTTCAACTGAGAGTCTTAAGATGGTTGCCTGAGGACACTGAAAGGATAAGTGACTTGCCCAGGGTCATACTGCCAGGATCTGACAGAGGCAGACCTTGAGCTCACGTCTTCCAAACTCTAAAGCCAGGGCTCTATTCACTCCACCACATGGACTCTAATGTGCAAAATTATTCTGTTTTTAAGGCAATGTAATGATATGAAATATATGTAGAAAATGTGTCTAGACTTCAATGGTTAATTATTCCTTTCTGTTTTGTTCTGTTCATAACAATCATATAGCAATAGCCATAAAAGGTTTGTTCAGGGTAGATACTGATTGCCTTTGACTTCCAAGGAGATTGCAGAGCCTCCCACAGGTGGATGTTTTTCAGTGGAGCTCTGGTTCTTAGGAGGAACCTAAAGGATAAGGATGCTTGAGTTTCAACTTTGTCCCTAGAGCTTATGAGGAGGCTGCCAACAAAGACTGGAATTCTGTTCGTGGTTTGGAGGACAGAGATGCCTGACCTTTGGGAACTGAATCAAGACCACCAACTCATCTAGCACAACAACTAAGTGTCATGTGGAAACAATTATCCCTTAGAACCAAGACAGACTGGATTCAAACCTTGAGGCAAAAAAGCCTTAGGGTACCCTATTTATCAATTCCATGAGACAAATACAAGTAATTCTCTCCCCAAACAACATCCCAACAGACACATTAGAATAAATAAGGTGGATAAGTTAAGTCTGCATGCATAACAGATTATTTTTCTAACTACATTGGCAGTTTATAATTTTTTTTTCCCCTTCAGGGAAAGAGTGGTAAATTTCAGTTCAGTTTAATTTCTGCTTTGATTCTAATTTGACTTTCTATGCCATAATTTGAAACTTATGGTCAAATCTATCACTTAACAAATTCCTACTACAATACTATATTTTTTAAGCACCTGCATTCTCATTAAAACTGCACCCCACCGGCCCCCTACTCTGTGCCCTGATGTAGTGAGTAGCAAGTGTCACAGGACAGATTCCTTGCTGTCTCTTCAGTGTGGGTACAAGGCCTAGACAGGGCCCAGATGTCTGGCTGCTCATTTCTCCTCTGGAGAAGGGTTTTTGTCTTCCGGTAGAGATCGATCCTCTGCTCTCTTGACACCAGTTAATCTGTATGACTGTCAAGCTGTCACCTGAACTGTGAATCTTGGCCTGCTGCACTGCAGACATCGCTAAACTCCCTGAAGGAAGGCTTGGGGCAGGTAGGCCGGCAGCTGCCCCGTCCTGTGCTCATTGGAAGTCTGTCCTCACAGAAGATTCGACAAATTATGTTTTAGATAACGGAGTGACAGACCTTTCCTCCCCCAACCCCCAATTTAGTAAAAAGTCCACACATTTATATACACAAACCCAAACCACAGAAATTTGTCAAAAACAAATTGGCTGTCTTTCAAGCAGACACCTTTCCAACAGTTTTCCCCCCTCTCCTCAGTAAATTTCTCCTCTCAAAAAACCACTGGAATGGTCTTCTTCTAAACAAAATGGAAATTCTAAAGAATGTTTTTGCACAGTTAATCTTATGAATTCACATTTTTCTCCCCTCCTCAGCCCTTCCCAGTATAATATAATCCCTTGCACCTGCAAAAGCTCCACAAGCTGCTGACTGCCAGGAGTCGACCACATGGCCTTGCTTCCGTGACCAGAGGGCCTAGATTGAAAGAGAAAGGAAAACACCAGTCATCATGTCGGCCACTCTATCGGAGCCACCTCCTGCAGGCTAACTCTGACGATGGGAACTTCAGGGAGAAGCTATTTCTGTAGCATTCTTCTGTGATGTCATAAGTGATTTTCCCAAGGACTTAACCATTTACTAAAACAATTAGGAGTGCGAAAGATGTCTTGAACTACCATACATTAAACAAACCAATTTCAGGAACTAGATTTTTAAAAATATATTTGTTAACCTCAAGAAATGGGAAACATTTAAGAATATTTCTAGATACGGTCCAAATCACCCTAATAAAAATATAAATGAAGCCATATATGCACTGAGACAAGGGACTGGAGAAAGCCTCTTGGGACTCTCCTTGGTTAGATTACACTGAAGGCCTTCCTCATCAGACCCGACTGGTTGACAAGATTGTTCATTATGACAGAACTGTTTCCGTGACCCCCCCCCACTCCCCATGGTATTCCCCAGGGCCCTCTCCTGAACCCTCTTTTCTTCTCCCACTAGACTATTTCACTCCATAATCTCATCAGCTCTCATAGATTCAATGATCATCCCTATGTTGGTGATTCTCAGGTCAACTTGTCAAGCCCTAATATCTTTCCTAACCTCCAGATACACATCTCCAACTGTCTACTAGAAAGACCAAATCAATTGATCAATTGAGTTCTGAGGTATCTGCAATAAGCTTGGCATTAATATGAAAAGTCCCTGGGAGTAGGAGGCCACCAGGTTGCCTAAAGAGGGGCAAACCCGTCCATGGCAAAAATGGAACAAGTCAAAGATCCCAGGCCAATTTAAGTGGGACTGGGCCAGTCGGTAGCCCTTTCACTTGATCAATCAATTAGATCAGATCAAACCAAACGTCTCATATATATCTTAAATTCAACATGTCCAGAACTGAATTCACTATCTATCTTTCCTCCAGAACCCCCATCTCTTCCTAAGTCTCCTATTACTACCCAAGGCACTACCTAGGTGTCATCCTGGGTTCCTCACTCTCACCCCACCATAGCCAATCTGTTGCCAAATTCTGGCCATCATGCCTTCATGATGTCTCTCTATGCCCCCTTCTTTGCTCCAACACAGTTACCACCCCATGTAGACTCTTATCACCTCAATCGTGGATCAATGTCATTGCCTCCTTACTTGGTCTCTCCCTGATCCAATTCTCACCTCAGCTGTCAAACACAACCCCCAAAAGCACAAATCTAACCACGTCATCTTCCAAGCTGTGCCCTTCCTCCCCGCCCCACACATTTAATAAACTCCAGTGGTTCCCCATTACCTCCAGGATTAAATACCAAACCATCTGTTTGGCATTCAAAGCTCTTGTAAACTCTTCACCTGGTCCCTCCTACCTCTCCAGTCTTCTGCTACCTTACTCACTCCCACACACTCTGTGATGTAGTGACACTGGTCTCTCTGCTGCTCCCTGCACAAGATACCCCATCTCCAGACCACTGACATTTTACTGGCCGTCTCTCATGCCTGGAATTCTCTCCCTCCTCATCTCATCTCATTTGCTGGCTCTTAGCTAAAATCCTACCTTCCATAAGAAACCTTCCCAATCTCCCTTAATGTTAGTGCCTTCCCTCTGTTGATTATATCTCCAATTTATTCTATATATATCTTATTTATTGTTTGCATGTTGTCTCTCCCATTAGACTGCCCTCCTTGAGGGCAGGGGCTGTCTTTGTCCTTTTTTTGTATTCCCAGAGCTTAGCACAATGCCTGGCACACTGGAGATACTTAATAAATGCCAGCTGCCTGGATGACTGAGCTTGCCACCTGGACATAACATTTAAAAAATATCACTGTCAATATGCTTTCACTTTTATTTCATTTGACAATTATTTTTGTTAAACGAGTATCAAATGAATGTTTTTATTAAGTAAACAAATATTTATTAATGCCTCATTAAGGGACATCCTTGATGTGCAAAGAGTATGAGCTTTACAGTCACAGGGCCAGGACCAAAATCCCCAAATTTTAAGCCAAGGGAGCAAAGTGGTCTTTCTAACGTACAAATCAGGCATGTTATTCCTTTGCTTAAAACCTTACAGTGGATGGACAGGGTGGTTCATGACTGTAATCACTGCTTCTGGGGAGGCTGAGGCTCATAGATCTCTAGAGCTCAGGATTCTGAGGTCTCTGCAATAAGCTTGGCATTAAGATGATAAGTCCCTGGGAGTGGGAGGCCAGCAGGTTGCCTAAAGAGGGGCAAACCTGTCCATGGCAAAAATGGAACAAGTCAAAGCTCCCAGGCCAATTTAAGTGGGACTGGGCCAGTCAGGAGCCCGTGCACTTCCAGTCTGGAGATAAGAAGACCCACTCTTAACAAACAGAACTTACAGTGATGCCCATCTAGCCTAGAGAACCCCTTGGGCTGACTTTGAGGCCCTCGATAATGTGGTGCCAATTTACTTGCCTTCCCCCTTTATCTATTGTTTCAGTCAAACAGTCACACGCATTGTTCCAACTCACGTTGGACCATGTGTCTTACAGGCTATCTCCTTCAGTGAATAGTTGCATAGACTGCCTCTTATTTTAGAAATTAACCCCTTCTCCATCTCTGTCTACTGCAACTCTTTTCTTTCTTCCAAGCTTAGCTCAAGTGCCAGGAAGCTTCCTTTGCTCTCCTCTCTTACTCCTCAAAAATCCCCAGAACATTTTCTAGTTCTCCTTTGTCCCATCAGAAACTACCTTGCACTTCACTTGTGCAAAAGTCCCCTCTAGTAGAGTTTAAGCTGTTCAAGGGCAGCAAGCTGTGACTTTACATATCTCAACTTCCAGGACCTAGTGGAGTGCCTTGAACAGAGGTGATTGGCAAATAGTGAATTAAAATAACTGGCCTAATTCAAAGACTGGTGATTAACAGAATAATGGCAACCTGGATGGCAGTTCCTAGTGGGAAGGGTGAGGCCTGTACTTGGTCCTATTCTGTTCAGCATCTGTATCGATGACTTAGCTCATAACTACACTCAGAGCTTGCGGTGCTGGATAAATGGACGCTCTCAGAGATGGCTGGTTTATTGTATTTCCAGATTACATAGAGTTGGGAGGGATAACTAATTTACTAGATGACAGAACCGGGATCCCAAAAGACTCTAATAGGCCAGTACAACGGGCCAACATAAGCAACATAAAGTTGAATAGGAATATTTGCCAAATCCTGCAGGTGAGTTAAAAAAGATCAACTATACAATTACAGAATATAGATGATAAGGCTAGAAAGTAGCTCATGTTAAAAACTCCTTGGCTTCAGTGAGCCAGCAGCGATACAGCAGCTAAAAGAAGTAACATCACCTCACGAGGGCCCATGGTGAGGGAGGGAATAATTTTGCTCTGCTTGGCCTTGGTCAGAACACAGCGAGTGTGGTCTCTAGCTCTGGGTAGATGGAAGCTAGATGACCACTTTAAAGGATGTTGTGGGGTGTCCACAAGAAGACCTGGGAAGTTCCTTTCAGCTCTAAGATGCTACACTGGGGGGCGATGGGAACTTTGATTGAAAAAGAGTTATACTGTGCGTGTGGAGAGCTCTCGAATAGTAGGCTAAGGAATTTCTATTGGACTGCACTTTGTAGGCAATCAGAGACTAATGAAAAGGAAAGGGGAGAACAAAGTTCCAGGTGAGGGGACTGACATGGACAAAAGACATGGAGGCAGGAAATAAGAATGGTTTTGGTAGGGGCAATACAGAACCTAAACTGATTAGAGAAAGGGTACATGGTGGGGAATAATGTCTTATTTTTGTCTCCCAGTGTCTACCATAACGTCTTCCTTCCACATAGTAGGTATACAATAAATGTTTGCTGAATCTAATTTTTAAAAATCATTACACAGTAGATTTTTAGCATTCAGGGGAAACTGCCATTGTTCGGACAAGGAAACTATTTTACTTCTCTTCAACACAGGGCATTCATCCTCTGCAAAAATCTTAAGATGCTCTTCATGAATAATTTACGCAAAATCAGCACAAAGCTTTTTATTCAATTCAGGCCAAATGGAGAGCACAACAAGCCTCTTCTAAGACAGCTGGACAAAAATGGGTGTATGTCTTTTTTTATTCAGTGGAATTAATATTCATTTACAAGTACACATTAAAGAGAAAAGTAAACCACAAGCCTTTTAAAAAAAAAACATGGGTCTTAGTGGCTAGATCAATAAAATAAACCTTAAAGAATGAAAAATTCTCATACAGAAAAAGGGACAGCAAAGGTGGGACTAATACCTTATTCTCTAGAGCTCTGCTGCTAAGAAAATGTTTCCTGGGGCCATGATTATGGGGAGGGCTGCTGCAGGTCAGGTTCCAAGGTGGCAAACCATTCAAGGTTGATGGCCTCAGAATTTACAAATGAGCCAATGGTTCCCTCAATGTGCCTCTCTGAAATCCATTTCTAAAAGACCCTTTCACTGAAGAGTCGAGTTGCCACACCACTTCCCAAGATTCACAGGCTTAAGAGGTCTAGTCTGAAGGAACAAAAAGAGCATCAGGGTCTAAAGGAAGAATTTCAGTTATCTGGCATCACTGAGATACCTGAAGCTTTAAGAAATGACATTTGTATGGTTGTCTTTTTAAATACAACACACACGAAAAAAGCCAAGGTCTCCCACTGCATCCGGGGCCACTGCCAGTTATCTTGGCCTATTTCTTGCCACTGGACTCTGATGACTCTGGAGGACAGAGTGAGGCTGATGACTTTGCACAGCTCTGCCTCAATTAAATCCATTTCACTTGCAAGTCAAGTCATCACCCTCCTGATGTCATTGGTCCTTCTTAAGAATGAAGGTCAAACAACAACACATAGACTTGTGTGATTCATCAAATGGATAATATTAGACTTCTCTTAACCTTTGTGGTGAGGCAACATGAAAAAGAGAAAGCATCAGATTTGGGGTCAGAGGACCTGAGTTTGAGCCCTGGCCATCACCTTGGACCCCAAACTCTATGAGCAACCAGACTGCTCTCTATGGGA